GCTCGAGTGGGGGTTCAGGGGTGTGGGGAGCTTTCCGGGGTTGGAGCGAAGTTTTCAGTTGTGGAGTGAATTCTCAGAACTGGTCTCGCTAAAGAGAATTCACTCCACAATAGCTGTATATAGATCGAGCCACTGATCGAGTGCTCCTCTTCTCTTTCCTTTCTTCTCTAGATTGAGTTTAATTCATAATAACCAACTGGCGCCCTATGCCTTGGTGAACCGTGACACCGGAGTGTGTCCGAATCAGTATATCCATTCGATGAACAATTGCGCCATCTGCCGGGCAGTTGTGGTTTTGTAGCAAGGTATTGTCACCGAACTCTTTCCGAGTCAGTCCATAAACACTAAGATGCTATCGTATCCATGCTTGTCCCTTGGGAACTCCTTGAAGTCCATGGTGAGGTGTTGCATAGGGTATTCAGGTATGGGTAGTGGGTGTAGAAATCCTTGTTGCTTAGTGACATTGGTGTGAGAAAGCCGGCATGTCACGCAGTTTCGTACATAGGTTGGTGTGGCGATTCACACATAGGCGGCCTTTGTACAGGAGGAGCTGGTTGTTCATTGCGAATCCGTCCGGTAGGGTTGTTTCGCGCGAGTCTCGGTGAACGACTTCCGATTGTCCGCACATAGCGCCTCTATTAAATTGAAGGGCACCTGGGGCTTGGGGTGTCCATCAAATTAATGGATGCTATGTAGCTCTCGGCGAGTTCAGTGCTGATTCGGGTGTGCAGGGCGGTTTGGACCTAACAATACCCTCGCCCTACTATCAAGTTTGACTTTCTGCTGCGTTACTAAGTCTTGGTCTCTTCGGCTCAGAATATCTGCCTTCTGGTTATCCTTGTCCGCAGTGTACGTAATGCAGAAGTTGAAGTCGGAGAGTAGCTCCATCCATCGAACCTGCTTCGCGGTGAGAACCTTGGTAGACATGAAGTATTCCAGCGAACGGTGGTCAGTGTACACGTCGACTCAGTGGCGCACCGAAGCCAACTCGGGCCTCCATTTTCCGAAGGCCTTTACTATTGCGAATAGTTCCTTCTCGTGGATCTCCCAATTGATCTCATGTCCAGATAGGACATGACTGTAAAAGCTTACGGGGTACCATCACTTGTCAGGGTGTTCTTGAGACAGGACACCAGCTACCACTCCATCAGAGGAGTCGGTCTCCAGCTTCGTAGGCAATTCGGGGTTGAAGTGGTGAAGTGCCTGTACCGCTAAAAGTTGTCATCACAATTCCTCGAACGCATCCTCACATTCGTCTGTCCACCTTGACTATGAGTCAGTCCCGAATCGAAGCACTCCATTGTAGGAAGGTATGTTCTACCCCATCGCTGAGAGGAAGGATTTTCTCAGAGATGGTTGATTTCTTATAGCGACTCGGAGGGTCCTCGGTGTGCATTTGTGATGACCCTGGAATTGATGGAGAACGAGTGTTCCGAAGAGGTGGCAATTGAATTGTCTCGGGGGTGTTTCGTGTGCGAGGCGTTTGTTGCTCCACAGCTTCGACTGTGGGTATGGGGCGTCCACCGGCGGTGTGGACGGGATTCTGGTCTGGGTTGCCGTCAGGGTAACTAGTAGATCCTTGATCTCCTGTATCTGTGCTTCGAGGTGGGCCTTCGACTCAGGATGTCTTCAGATGGCACAGCGGTCGTAGTTGCAGCGGTGGTTTGTCTGGTAGTCATTCTGGCAGTTGACCGTCGTTGTCTTGGGGTATGTTTTTATGTCAGCTTTTTCGACATATTGCCTCGGGTGTGTATCGGCACCGATACCAAAGAGCTTGACTTCTGGTAGCTCATAGCTATCAACGCTCTTGTCCACAATTTCCTCTGTGCTATGAGGGGGTTCTTAAGGATCTCGTATCCTATTTGGCGCCAACACGTTGGCGACTTTACCAGCTTGTTCTGAAGAATCAAACCCTGATCCACTGGCTGTCCATGAGATCTCTGGAATCACGGCTATTTGAAGTCATCAGGTCTCTCCTCCGAAATGTCACCGAGTCGCAGTCGATGGTGTAACGGTAGTTCTCCTGAGTCATTCCGGTGTGGGATATTATTTAAGTACGGCCGTCCCCGGCAGGCGTGATCTTTTTTGTATAATGTAAGGACACAGGGCACCCAGCTCACAGTAATAGCATATGAGAGTGCGAGTCAGAGGCTAAACGGATGCTATCCTATAGGTCTACTACGAAGGATACAAAAAGATGATGGGGGAAACCCGTGAGTCGATTTTCTCAAGTACCCGAAACCCATCCGACTTGGTTCCGACTCGGTTAGCTCACCCAAATGATCACACGTGACCCCGCGGCTACCTGGAGTCTACTCCCTAGAATGAGAGACGAGAAGGCATCCTTACAGGGTGAAGGCAGGTTAGCCGAGTCGGACCTGTTTCGGGTACTTAAGGAGATTTACCCAACGGGGTTCCTCTCTTCATTTTTTTTGTATCCTTCGTAGTAGACCTATAGGATAGCATCCGTTTAGCCTCCGACTCGCACTCTCATATGCTATTACTGTGAGCTGGGTGCCCTGTGTCCTTACAGTTTGCTATCAAACTCAAGAGCAAACTTAGAAATCTCCTCCTCAAACCTACAAGTCACCATACATACCTTGGCTTATCACACCAACAACAAGAGCAATACTACTCAACGATTGCTGCAAACTCTTTTACTACATCTGTTTATGCTACATACATCACGGCATATCATTTGGACACTCATTGAACAAGTTATTAAGAAAATATCCTCCTTAAGGGGGTGGGCCAATACTACCACATGGCATATCCCTACCAACTAGAGGCCTAGGAACATGAATGATAGCTCCAAAAGCTTCTACAACCCTCTATGATTCATTACACGTCATCGCTCCTTAGTTACCCACAAGATTCGTTAAGTTATGACATAATGTGTCTATAGGGGTACTCTGACCTTGGACCTCCTTTCACTTCCTATAGGCTACGAACCCAAGAAATGGTTCTATGGGATTTTCTTACGTTTACTACATGATTAGCAAGCTAGTTGTGGGTTTCACTTGATTTCTAATACAGTTACCAACCCTGGTTAGTCATGGAAAGTCATGGAAAATGAGAGAACTACACTCATTTGGCATAAATAGAATTGCCCTTTCCTTAAGAAAGGGCAAGCAGACAATACAGTAAATCGACTATCACATACTTCCACGTCTTTTCCAAGCTTCCAATTGATCTTGTTACTCCTTGTTTCTGAAAAGTAAGTGAGGTGCTAACCTCTGACTTATCCCTGAGTTCTCAGACTCAACATTTATTACAACTTGTCTAAACCACTTCACTACATCATACACCTGATTGCTGCATTGTGGAATAGTCTAAGCTACAACCCTTTTGCTCTGTTTCCTAAGACAGTGTGTTGTCTTAGTAAAATCATCCCCTTCCTTGGGTGGCTAGCTTCTCACATCTGGTGCACCCACCATTACAACAAGACTAGGACCGCATGACCAATCCTACATGGTCTATAGACTAGACAGGATCTGTAAGTCATTGTAAGGACACAGGGCACCCAGCTCACAGTAATAGCATATGAGAGTGCGAGTCGGAGGCTAAACGGATGCTATCCTATAGGTCTACTATGAAGGATACAAAAAAAATGAAGAGAGGAACCCCCTTGGGTCAATCTCCTTAAGTACCCGAATGTAAGGACAGTTCGAACCAAGGCTGACCTTCGAGTCTGCAGAAGTATCTGAAGTATAATGTGAAGACTTCGATACTCGAAGCAGTAGGACAAGGTATAGTAGTTCAGGCTCCAAAGCATATACTTTATACCACAGGGGTCAAGTGGTGAGACTAACAGGTTGGCCAAGTGGTTCAACTCAGTAAGGGAATGCAAAGTAAGTCAAAACAGGAGGAATTGCAAGAAGGCCAAGTAGTGTATAATTTGCTAGCTAAAGATCAATAAGAGACATGAGCAATAAGTGCTTATATAACAGTAAAAAAGTGCTTATATAACAGTAAAAATCCCTAGTGCCAAATAAGCGAAGGCACTAATTAACCGAACCCTAGCTAAGCGAGCCCTAGTGAAGCGAGCCAATAACAAGAGAGCCTAAGCCAGTAGTCATTTTGGGCTGATCTAGGTCAGCAAGTGAAGCGAAGTGAGCGAAGTGAGTGAAGCAGGTGAAGCGAATGACATAGTGAAATAAGTACTAGAGACTAAAGCGAATCGAAGGGTCATAAAAAAATATCGAAGGAGTGTCATGACACTGAAACGGGTCCGACTCGGCTAACCTGCCTTCACTCTCACCATGTGACCGTAACTTGTCCAACTCAGATACCTTCCGTCACTGAGGGAGAGGGACCCCATTGGGTCAATCCCCTTAAGTACCCAAAACGGGTCCGACTCAGCTAACCTGCCTTAACTCTTATCATGTGACCGTAACCTGCCCGACTCAGATCCTTTACGTCACTGAGGACAGGCATCCTTACAGTCATAGGACAAGGACTGATCCTACATGGTCTATAGACTAGACAGGATCTATAAGGCATAACACACTATATAAGTAGATTAGATAGGAGCTTCTGTAAAGCGTAAGCCTAAGGTCTCACGGGAGTCCAGGGAACCAGGTCAGGAGGCAGGAAGGTATCGTATTCTGTAAGCACAATAGGTCTACGTAGATACATCGACTATTGACTGGAGGCCTTCTTCTGAGGCCTCCAACCCCTTTTATCTATGCACCTTGTGCCCTATTTTACCGAGCCCTATGGGCCGCTTATGAAAGGGACCTCACGTGGTGGCACGTGATGGCCTTCCTTACAATTACCTCCCCTCTTAGAGGGATTGCCCTCAATTCCAAGGTTTCGCAGCTAGGGCTTACTTGCCCTCCTGGCTTGTTTAGACTTTTTGTTTTGACCCGGGTGGTGGACTTGTTTGGGTGTGTGCTTGGTGTGCTGGTCCCGTGACCCCCCTTGGTTGTGGGTTGCCGCGGCCACCCCCTTTGTTATGGGTCTCGCGCCAAACTCCTACTTCCTTCCAAACTTCCTATCGAACTTCCTGCCACCTTCATCCTCAACATCACCTTACTTCGCCTTTCGCCCTCGATCTTAGTCCCAACCTTTGGGGCCTACACAGTTGCTTGTTTCTTTAAGGTAATCACTTCCTTTCCACCTGGATTGCAGGAGCTTATCGTTACGGATAGATCTGACATCATCCAACCCTCATCATGGCTCCCAAGCCGAAGGGGAAGGCTCCAGTTACTACACCTCGCAAGCGACCAGTGGCCCAGATGTCCAGCTCTCCCGAGTCGCAGGCGCCCGCCACGCCTGTTCCATCTGTTGTCACCTCCTCCACATCACGTTCTCGCACTATCCGTCCGTATCGTTCGCCTGAAGTTGAGGACGAAGCTGAGGATCTCGAAGGCTCCGTCGTTCCTGAGTCTGAGGCTCCAAAGGATGAGCGCACCGTGCTTGGGTGGAAGGTCGCTGCCCGCTGTGAGGTTCCTGATTCTGCAGGACGCCTTCACGCTGGCTCCTGCCCGTGCTGCATGAAGTGTGCGCACACGTATTACAACTTCCCAGGCCAGATGTGCTGGGTCCCTTCCGGCATGGCCAAGTGTGCAGACTGCCTTCGGGGCAACCACGCGTGCGTTCCAGTAAGGGACTCCCTCCTCATTGTTTGTTTGTACTAATGGTTGGGTAGGCTGCTGCCCAGCTTGGCGCCGAGTTGGAGGCCCTCCAGCTTGCGGCCGACGCTCTCCTGAACTGTTGGGCCGACGACGAAGATGCTGGCCTTGCTGCTGATTCTGAGGCTACTGTCCAGGCCATCAGCGCCCTTCACGCTGCCCAGCGCGTATACAGCAATGCCACCAAGGCCAATACCATTACGTTGTCCCATCCTTGCTTCCTTGTGCTTGCTTCCTGTGATATGCCTCGATTAACGATAGCCCTACATCATGTTTTGGCACCCATTGGTCGTCTGCGGCTGTATAACCAGCCCATCTAATAAGGTACTCCTCTCTCTGGCCCCTGCCTCGTTTGATTATCCTGTGGTCTAGGACCGCTTCTACTTGGTATTCTTCCTCACCGTCCACAATTTCTTGGCTAGGTGGAGGGTTGGGTTCCTCTGTGTTTTTCCAATACTTTCTAGTAAGGACACGTGGAACACGTTGTGGATCGCCTTATACCTTGGCGGTAGCTTCAACTGGTAAGCCTGCTTACCGATGCGCTGGGTGATCTCATACGGGCCAAGCCAGCAGTGCCCAAGCTTCCTACTTGGCTGGGTGGTTCTGATATTCTTGGCCGAAAGCCATACTTTCTCTCCTACCACGTACTGCATTGGCTTGTGCAGCTTGTTGTAGCCTCGTATTTGGGCTTCCTTCGTCTGTTTCCATGCCTCTTCGAGCTCCTGTCGCAATTCTAGGATCAGGTTGATGCGATCTTTCGCGACTGGCACTTCCCTTCTGGTGGGTCGTCCTCGATCCCTTGTCTTAGGTCTATATTGATGCCGTATCGGGCCTGGTTTGGCGACAATCTGGATGGAATCGTGGAAGGACGCGAAGTGGAGGAGTTCCACCCAGTTGTCTTGGTGCTGATTACAGTGGATCCGCAAGTAGGCTTCGATATTCTGATTCTGCCTCTCAGTCTGGCCGTCGGATTGAGGGTGGAAAGCGGTCGATAGGTTACGCCTTACTTTGAGGTGAAAACAGAACGCTGACCAGAAGTGACAGGTGAACACACTCCCTCGATCCGTGATTATTTCGGCTGGGATTCCAAAGTCCTTTACCCAGAACGCAAGGAAGAGGCGCGACAGCTCTGGGGCCGTGATGGTTTTCCTACAGGGTATATATTTGGACACCTTAGTATAACGATCAACAATCACAAGGATGGAGTCTGAAGCCTTGCCTTGATCCGCCCCTACGCTTGGGGGCAGATCCGTGATAAAGTCCATACTTATGGATTCAAATGGTTTCGAGGGCATTCTTAAGGCCTGCATCTCGCCATATGGCCTATGCCGCACGGGCTTCATGCGCTGGCATCTATCGCAGCCCCGTACATACTCCCTGGTTTCCTCGCTGAGGCCAGGCCAGTAGTATTTGCGTTGGATCAACTCTTGGGTTTTCTTATATCCAAAATGCCCGGCTAGTGGGTCGTCATGGCAAATCTTGAAAATTTCCATCCGCACTGCCTGGTTGGGAGGTACATATACCACTCCCTTGAAGCGTAGGATGCCTGTATCGTCTACTCTCCAATCTGAAGAGCCCTTTGCTCGCGCCAACCCAATATCCTTGGCCCTTTTAACAGCTAACTCGTCAGTCGCCTGGAGGGTTTTGATCAAGTCTATTAGGGGTTCAGACGCAGCACTATAGGCGCTCTCTCCCTTGGCTACAGCAGCTACTGCAACCCGAGGGACAACGAGACCTGGACTCTTGGTGTCCTTACTATGGTCATCGCCCAGTCTTACGCTGCTAGCATTTGCCTTCCTACGCTGTAGGTTAGGTTCTCCTATCTGAAAGCCTTCTTGGCTTGTTATCGTCCGACTTATCTGCGGGATACCTCCTGCCTGCATGGCTTCTCGGAGCTTGTTCTTAAGGGTCGGTAGCATCACATTCTGGCTACCCTTTTCACCCTCATAGTCTGGTCTCCTCGATGGACCGTCTGCTGGGTTTGTTTTTCCCGCTCGATAGGAGATGTGGAAATCATAGGCTGATAACGCCTGCGCCCACCGCGCTTGCCTCCTTGTGAGGGCGGTGGTTTCCATAAAATACTTCAGATTGTTGTGATCTGTTAGGACCTCAATTGGGTACTGGCTTCCTTCGAGGTAGTGTCTCCACTGCTCGAAGGACTTCACGATCGCCAGGAGTTCCTGGTCGTGGACTTCATAGTTCAGCTCTGCTGGATCTAGCTTTTTGCTGAAAAAGGCAACTGGGTGCCATTCGCCCTTCTCTTCTGGCTTAGTTCCTTTCACTAATTGGGACAGGTTCGCAGCGAGCGCAAAGCCTGACGAGTCCGTCTGGAGCCTGATTCTACGGCATGGGTCGAAATGGACCAGTGTGGGGGCTGTAGTGAAGGCCTTCTTCAACTGGCCGAAGGCGCTTTGCTGTTCCTCCCCCCACATGAACGGGCCTGTCTGCTTGCCTGCCTTTGCCCCTTTCATAAGGCCTGTCATTGGGGCCACCACGGAGGAGTATTGCTTTACAAAAGCGCCGGTAAAAGTTGGCAAAGCCGAGGAACACCTGGACCTCTCGATGGGTCCTAGGTATTGGCCAATCAGCGATTGCAGCAACCCGGTCGCTTTCCATAGCCACCCCTTCCGTCGTGACAATATACCCAAGGAAGCTTACCTTCTTGGCATTGAACTCGCACTTTGAGAGCTTCACGTATAGGTTCGCCTCGCGTAGGCGTCCTAGGACCTCTCGTACGTGGTCAGCGTGTTCCTCCTCCTTCTGGGAGTAGATGAGGATATCATCAAGGTATACGACACATATGGTGTCAACCAACCCTTGTAGGGTCTCATTCATGTACGCTTGGAACGTTGCAGGTGCGTTAGCCAATCCAAAAGGCATCACCCTGTACTCGAAGTGTCCATATCGAGTACGGAACGCTGTCTTCCACTCGTCGCCTGGGCGAATACGGATGCGGTGGTAGGCGTTCCTAATATCAAGCTTTGTGAAGCACCTCGACCCTTGGAGCCGATCCAAGGTCTCCGTGATCAGTGGCAGCGGGTGTCGATTCTTCACGGTAATCTTATTCAAGCCTCTGTAGTCTACGCAGAGGCGTAGGCTTCCGTCCTTCTTCTGAACGAATAGGATGGGCGCACCTGCAGGGCTTACGCTCCTTCGGATCCAACCCTTCTTCTCGCTCTCGTCGAGGTATTTACGGAGCGTGGCCAGCTCCGTTTCCGATAGGTTATATACTGGCCCATACGGTGGTTCCTGGGGCCCAGTATCGATGGCATGGGTTTTCCTTCCCAGCTCTGGCAGTTCTTCTGCCTTTTCCTCCGAGAAGACGTCAATATAGTCCTCGTATTCCTTCGGGCATTGGGTAGGCGCGCTATCGTCTGTGTTTAAGGCCAAGACGAAGGCAGTATCACCTTCCTCCCATTCTTCAATATCCGCCACCTCGGCTCTCGCAATATCGAAGGGCTGGCGCCAGGTCTGTTTGCGCCAGTCGATCTGGGGGTTGACCTGCGTCATCCAATCCATCCCAAGGATGACGTCTACTCCTGGGGTGTCCATGGAAAGGAGGGTCTGGGCGACCACGCATTCCCTTTGAAAGTGGTCCCTAGCTTGGACCTGGGTGGTGGCCGCTCCATATATCACAACCTCTTTTCCATCGACTGCCCTTGCCCGTGGCGGTGCCCTATCCCAGCACTCCAAACCCTTCTCTTTGGCAAACAGAGGGTGGATGGTGGACGTGTCAGATCCTGAGTCGAGGAGGGCTCTTGCCTTGTGCCATCCGGGCCCTACCTGCACCTCTACCTTGATCTCCATTCGACGCTGCGCCGTAGGCTTCTGGGATTCTGCTGGGAGTCACTCCCTCTTGGGGGTGTAGGCGTCCAATTTCCTCACCCCTGGGCCTGTGTGTTGGCGTGGGCCTCGACATTCCTTCGTGAGGTGGCCCGCCTTGCCACAGTTATAACAATTGATTCCGCTAGGGATTGGCCTAGCGTCCCTACTGTGGGTAGGGGCCTGTCCTCTCACCGGCCGCTGGTCTTGTGGGCGGTGTCTATTCCAGAAGGGTGTTCTTTCTCCTTGGGCCGAGGGCTGGGGAGCCCTGTGGCTGCCAGAGTTGCCCTTTCGGAATGGAAAGCTGCCCTGGGAGGTATTCCTTCCCTCCCTTGAGTTGGACTTGTCAACGGTAGGAGTTCTCTCTGTTACCCACTGGTTTGTCATTTCTAACATTGCCAGGATATTAATGATAGCGTCCCTTTGGGTAGAGGAACGCTCTGCGTACCCTCCTTCAAGGAGCCGCTGCCTCATCTCTGGGTGAATCTTCGTCAGAAGGTGGACAGTCTTCTGCGATTCAGTATACGGTTCCATCTCGCGTTTGAGGTCCTCAAGGTAGGCCACGAACTTGCGGATGCTCTGCCCTTTCCGTTGTAGGGCGACGTTATACTTCAAGGCCGCGATGCGTTGTCGGTTGGCTGGGTCGACATGGAGGTCCCGAAGAAACTCTTCGAACCCAGCGATATCCAAGGGATCTATGTATCCATCTCCTTGGGTTGCGCACCGGTTATCCCATTCCTTCATAGGGTGTCCTTCCAAGTATTGGGCAGCGAAGGCCACCTTAGATTGCTCGGTTGGAAAAACCCTTGGTTGGTATCGGAAGATAGCGCGGATCGAGGCCATGAACTCGTTGAGCTCTCGGATGGATTCGCCCTTATATACCTTAGGTTCCTTGACCCTTCCTATTGGCCTCTGGGCTGGTGTGACCTCCATTGATACGGTAGAGGCAGTCTTTGCCTCCTCCTCTTGTTGGGGTCCTTCCCACTCGTCCTCGATATCTTGGTGTCGCCTTTTCCGATGGTTCTCTTCCTGAATCCGGGCTTGCTTCTTCGCGAAGTCCCGTACCGCCTCAGGGTAGGCGTTGTAGTCGTCGCCGTGCGTTCTTCGGAAAAGCTCTAGGGCTTCCTCCATCGTGTTGATGTAGGCCCTCTCTTCGTCCATCCGCTTCCGAAGGTCTGCCAGCTTCGAGGCCATGCTCTCGTCCTGGCCTGCCGTCGAATGGCTAGCTTCTACGGACGTAGTTCTTGGAGCTGGCTCAGTGGCGTCAGTTGCTGGCGTTGCTCCTCCAGAAGTTGCATGCGTAATCCTTCTTTCAATACTCGCCATCCTGACCCAGTAGGCTGGATATGGGTCGAGTCAATAGAATTGTAAGGATCGTAAGCCTAAGGGTCTCACGGGAGTCCAGGGAACCAGGTCAGGAGGCAGGAAGGTATCGTATTATGTAAGCACAATAGGTCTACGTAGATACATCGACTATTAACTAGAGGCCTTCTTCCGAGGCCTCCAGCCCCTTTTATCCAGGCGCCTTGCGCCCTACTTTACCGAGCCCTACGGGCCCCACCAAAGGGGCCTCACGTGGTGGCATGTGATGGCCTTCCTTACAGGTTGAATCCTATTTTTGAAATGACTCCGTTCGATTTACTCGGTATGGATTTTCTCGGACCAATATTTCCTAGGTCTTGCAAGGGGAATGCGTACATCCTGCTCTCAGTTGAATACATGACTCGATACCTAATGGCCAAGCCGTCTGCACGTGCGAAATCATCTACCGTCGTCTCCTTTATTGACGACACCATATGTACCCCATTCGGAACTCCTCTCTCTATGTACTTCGATAATGGGAAACATTTCACGTCTGATCAAACCATGGGACATCTTAAGTCGCGTGGCATACAGGCCGTAACGGCACCGATCTCTCATCCTTCATCTGTTGGCCTCGCGGAAAGGTACGTGCAGATGATCTTGTCTGTCTACCACAAAATTCTTCAACAGCAACCGGAATTGATATATGAGTGGGATGACCTACTCCCCCACGTTGTGAACATCATCAATACTAGAAAGGTATCTGTCTACGGTGTCTCCACAGTTGAGCTGCTCTTCGGATTCAAGCCTCGATTTGTCCCAGGAGATTTGTCGATTGATGAGGAAATTTGTGCTGAACTGGTTGCCCAGCCACAATTCCTCCCGGCCTTTGATCAAGAGCCGAATGTCTCTGCGGTCGGTGTTCGCCTCACCAAACTTGATGAACTCCGCGACACTGCCACCCAAATCCGTCTTCGCCGTCAACTCAAACAAGCTGAGGAGACTGCTCGTGAATTCGCTCACAAAACCCAAATGAAGCGTGGTGATTTGGTATTGCTGCGCCGGCTTTCCCAGGACAATTCTCATTCGCACAAACTCGAACCCCGATGGTGTGGCCCGTACATTGTTCACAAGATCATGCCTCCTGGCACTACGGCATACATCTGTGAGCTACATTCTGATGCCATCAAGGGTAAATACCATCTAAATGATTTGAAACTATTTGTTAAAAGGCAACAACACAACACCCTTGATGAGCCGTTCGATCAGTTATTCGCGCGAAATGAGGCACAACGGTTACAAATTGCCTGGGAACTCCGCCTATCTGACACGGAAATTCAGCGTCGCGTAGCACTTCACCGGGAGCAGGGAATTCCTTTCCATGATGAGGAGGGTGATGACCAGCCGCAACCTGACCCAGACTGGTGGGCAGAGTTTATTCATTTTCCAGCTGACTCGGCTGAAGAAGACGATCCTGCATACTGGGTTAGGCGCAGCATCGACTTCAAACACATATAGCACTTATACGTGCAACCTTCTTTGCGGGCAGGGAAGGTTCAAGGGGAGAGAAGTGTGTGAGGGTGAGTGTATCATGATTACGGAATGCAGAAGGTTATGGTTATGAAATCTAGCTGTGTGTTGTTTGAGGGATGAAGCATTGCTATAGCTGGGAACGGCATGATTTTGTGTCACGCGTGTATGGGAACGGACTGTGCTGTTTTGTCTTCTATGCTTCTGTGTTTTGCTATGTGTCTGTCTCCTACAGTTTTGAGAATACAAATATGCTTGACTGTAATGGGACTGTAGGTCCCTCGCTCTCTTCCATGAAAGGACAAGGTTGTGTTATTAGGGAGGTGATTCTCTCTTGGTTGTTCTTCTATTTTGTGCCTTTAATGTATTGGTGAAGGAACTGGAACACTAGCCATAGGATGTGTTTCATTCTGAAGACTGAGGATCGTGTCGGTGAATGTATGAGGATCATGTCGGTGAATGTATGAGGATCGTGTCGGTGAATGTATGAGGATCGTGTCAGTGAATGTATGAGGAATAACGGGTAGAGAAGTGAACAGAAGGTGGCCTCCCAGGTCTCGGAGTGTCGACTTGGTGATGGAGGGATAGAAGAGGTGTGAATGAGGCTCCCCATGAAGGAGGCCTTTATGTGATCCGGAAAGTGAAGGATGGAGGGAAGTGGGTTTGAGATTGTCCCAACTAATTGGAGAAGGATTGAGGGAGCCATCTCAGGAAGCAGTTTGAGTGAAGGGTGAGGAAAAGCGGACGAAAGGATAAGTGGAAGTGTGATGTGAGTCTAAATGGAGGAGCCAACCCAACTTGTCGGAAATTTGACAACCTCTTGTTCTCGAGGATACTTTCCTCTGTCCTGAACCTTCCAACTACAACATCAAACAATTTGGTCAAGAAGCTTGTTTCTCTCTCGCAGTCAACTCTATCAGCACAAGAAATTCAACAGTCAACTCGAGCGGTACAAGGAACCCATTGGAGAAGTGAATTCAGTCCAGCAAACACCCAACCTCACTTCTGCAGTCAAAACGCGTGCGCTGCAGTCAGGAACTTCTTCTCTCGCCAGACAAATTCAATTTCATCAGTTCAGACAGACCGGAAGTCTCGGAACAAGAAACCAACAACTTCACCAAGAACTCAGTTATGGCAACCTCTCCAAATAAATCAAGAAATGAGGAATTGGAAGTCAGCGAAATGGGCGAGCCTGAGAATCACCAAGGCAAATTGAAGATGTCAGACTTTGAGGACTTGCGGGCGTTGTGGACACGAGTCTTCCGAATGTCTCGAGAGCAACGGGAGGATCTCTTTCAACCCATCAAATGGGAGTTCATGACACTTGTGATGCATGAGAACGGTGAAGGCGAACGGATTGAAAACCAAGAGAATGGAAGAAAACTGGCTGAAAACCGCAGCACTGGGATTCGGAAGTGCACCATCCAGTGGCTTGAGATTCTGGAGTTACTATGGGAAGTTGAGGTGTGGAAACGAGGGAAATTTGAAGAAAAGATGGGGAAGGGTGACGAGAGGGACGTTGTGTAGCAAGTAGAGCAAGAAATAAGGGCAAGTAGTGGTCGGAAGCCAAGGGAAGAAACCCATGCACGTCGCTGTGGCAAGTGTGGTGAGACTGGACACAATGCGCGCACTTGTCAGATTGTAATAGACAGGTCTGAGGAAGAGGAATCTGAGTAGTTTTAATTAATTTATATTGTTGTGGTGGATTTATCGCAATTCTTATGGGGTAGTCGCGATATTTTGGCACTTTCGCTTGTTTGGCACTTTCGTTATACATGCACGTTATTGTATTAAATTTATATACTATAATTTATATCCTTCTATAAATATAAATATTGTCCTATTATATTACTTCGTCAAACACACTACGTATATCCTCTCTACGGCCATAAGCACAGTTATGATCATCGTACTGGTCCTCGTCGTCGTCATTATCGTCGTCCCCATATTGCCCATGCCCTTCGCTACTACCATCCTCCTCATCTGCTGAACCCCAGTCAATGCTGTCCCTCAAAGTGCCTATTGATTGTTGTGCAATCTGGTCGTCAATAAGTGGCGTTTTCCTCTGCCGGCCATACATATCTTTGAATTTTAGCCGGGAAGCCTTGATGTTTTTATGCTGGTTCCTAGGATAGGCATCAAACCAATTTAGGAGCACCTGCCTAGGAACACCATTGCGAACACCATGATTTCTTTCGAAGTCAAGGTGGAGCTTTACCTTTACTGCCAATGATATAAACCAAACTAAGTCAGTTAGCCTTAATACTTGTATAGTTAATAGAAACTGTACATTTAATCCAGAATGGCCCAGGAGCAATTGAGGCTGTCCCATCAGGACGCGGTTCACTCAATTCTATTTTCTCATAGAAAAGGATGTATCGACTAGCCCAACAAAACACACTCTCTGCATCAACAACACTATAAACAGACTCGAACACCTCCCATAGTCGAGATGGATCCTGTTCGTTCTGCATGGCCACTATGCCTGGCTTTGCAAGGGTTTTGCTAACCCACTCCTGTACATGTTCAGATAAGCCACCACAGAAGGGGTCGAGTAGTCATACCATCATGCAGGTAATAGTCCGGTGCTTCCACGTATTTGTATTACCCCTTGGCTTATAAAGAGCTTTGTCTCGGAGAGCAAAGTTTTGGTCGAAATCTATGGATAGGGTAACCTCATTTACTATGGCTTCAAGCTCCTTGTCTGTAGCCCGTCCATATCGAAGGGTAAGCCGTCGGATCTCAGGGTCCAACTTCTTCCGGATTTGTTTCCAAGCTGCATTGTCGAACACTTTGGTCTGGTTCTCTGCCTGCCGAAAGGGCTTGGTGCTACTATTGTAAGAATCGTTGTCGTTAGGCCTCATACGCTTTGCAGCAGGTCGGTAGACTGGTAGACTGGCAGGGAGTTGGTGGACCTTGTAGAGTTACTACTTCGACCACTAAGTTGTGGGGTCGAAGTTAGAGCAGTTGCATTTTGGAAGCCGGTGTCATTCCGATGTGGTTGAGGTCTGTTGAAATGACCGTTGTCAAAGGACAGTGTCGTTGCTAGCTGGGTAGGAAGCTGGGATGACGCTACACAAAACGGAGGCTCATGGATCTGTCCAACTTGAGACTGCGCTGGGCTAATGGTATTGGGTTGAATATGGAGCAATAACTGCGAAGTCGGGGAGTTGATTATAGTAGGTAGGGCCCCATTGTTGGTTAAGTTGGACGAAGACTGGGCCTGAGATAATGCTGGGCTATTTGAGTCGCGGTGAACAATGCTGCGCGCACCATATGGATATTGGGAGTTTGAGGTCTGAGATTCCTGCATTTGCGAGCTCTCATGATTGTGATCTTCCTGGTTATATGCCTGCGATGCGCCTCTGGTTGTGCCTCTGGTTGTGCCTCTAGTAGCGCGTTTGGGCGACGCGAGGTCTTTGGCATGGTATTGATTCTACAACCAGGATTAGCCTCCCTTCTGTACATGTTCAGGGGGGGCGGGGGGGGGGGAGGGTGCATGAATACCAATAGTATACTCCTATACACTTCCTGTTATAGACACCAACACAAGGTGGTTTAAGTGTGTGATTTTGTAATCGGGGGGTATAAATTCGAAAATTGTAAACTACGCGTGAAGTGTCATACAGTGTCACGTGATGAATGATCGCCAAACCCCATCGTCTAATTCAACTGTTCATAATGCGACTCTTAGCTCAATATAACCCCCTATACAAATTGGGAGTTCTATAACCTACTACCTATAGCAATGAACTCAAGCCCCAATGCAACATATACTGCAGAGGATTTTGGTAATCCAAATCGCCGGCGTAGGCGTAGATGGCCAGCTTCCGGGGCAAATCTTCGGAGGCATGTTGTATATCAGACTACACAGATGAACCGAGCTGAGGCTACCCGGAGACAACATCTGCAGCTTCCTGCTCTAGATAATGGGTCAAGTAACGTTCAATCCTATGTGCCACCTCCTTCACTAACCTTAAATCAGCCAGAAGATTATTATACGCATTATAATGACGATGATGAAAACGAGCTTGCCGATTTTCCTGACTTACAATCCAACGCCAAAGGGCCTACAATGCCAATTATGGAACTAGGGTTGTCTTATACATGTACAGAGGACGCCTTCCAGGGGGACTACAACGATGCTATAGTGCGAGAGGACGACTACTCAGAGAACGGCTCAGTAGAGAGTGAACACAATCCAAAGGTTCATTTAGCTAGTGACGCTGTCATTTATCATACTGACATTCGTTGCACTCAGTTTGCTATCAAACTCAAGAGCAAACTTGGAAATCTCCTCCTCAAACCTACAAGTCACTATACATATTTTGGCTTATCACACCAACAACAAGAGCAATACTACTCAACGATTGCTACAACCATCTATGATTCATTACACATCATCGCTCCTTAGTTACTGGGCCGATATTACCACATAGCATATCTCTACAACTCTCTATGATTCATTACATGACATCACTCATACTACCACATGACATATCTCTACCAACTAGAGGCCTAGGAGCATGAACGATAGCTCTAAAAGCTCCTACGAACCTCTATGATTCATTACATGTCATCGCTCTTTAGTTACCCACAAGATTGGTTAAGTTATGACATAATTTGTCTATAGGGGTACTCTGACCTTGGACCTCCTTTTACTTCCTATAGGCTACAAACCTAAGAGATGGTTCTATGGGATTCTCTTACGTCGACTACAGTTACCAAGCCTGGTAAGTCATGGAAAGTCTTGGAAAATGAGAGAACTACATTCCTTTAGCATAAATAGGATTGCCCTTTCCTTAAGAAAGGGCAAGCAGACAATACAGTAAATCGACTATCACATACTTCCACGTCTTTTCCAAGCTTCCAAGCATTCATCTTGTTACTCCTTGTTTCTGAAAAGTCAGTGAGGTGTTAACCTCTGACTTATCCCTGAGTTCTCAGACTCAACATTTGTTGCAACTTGTCTGAACCACTTCACTACATCACACACCTGATTGCTGTGTTGTGGAATAGTCTAAGCTACAACCCTTTGGCTCTTTTTCCTAAGGCAGTGTGTTGTCTTAGTAAATTCATCCCTTCCTTGGGTGGCTAGATTCTCACATCTCGTGCACCCACCATTACACTAAGGTAGCTACGCGGATTAATACCTCCCACGTTTACGATGTAATGTCGCTTATGGCCTCATTTGTTAGTATGGCTGTGGGTGCTCATGTGACTGACGCGAGCCTGACAATCTGTTGGGGAAAAGAGGATGGGCACCGTGGGATACGGTGGCATTTTGGCCCTAGAATGGCAGCTTTTTCCAGTGTTATCGTCGGGCTCCCTAATTGGTGCTTGGGTTGCCTCAGAACTCCAACGCACTGGGTTTTGGGCCCAAACCCCTCTGATACTCAGGGCGTTTGGGTAGGTCCTTTGAATAACATAAATAATACGTAGGCTCCGTAGATAGTGTAGTAATTCAATTGATTGATATATTCTATATACTGTAGTTACTGTGAGGCCTCCTGAATCCGTCTGCCGAAGAGATACATTACGGTTACCCGGAACCTCTGACTCTTGGCGCAACAGGCAGGAAACCTCACAGTAACTGCGGTATATAGAATATATAGATCAATTGAATTACTACACTATGTACGGAGCCTACGTATTATTTATGTTATTCAGAGGGCCTGCCCAAACCCCCAGAGTAGCAGTAGGGTTTTGGGACCGAAACCCAATAACGTAAGTCGTGGCGTAACCGGGAGAATGGCGTAAATGGGATAGTGGGGAATATTGAGCATCAAGAGTATCACCAAACCAATGTAAACCCCCAACATGGTGCGAAAGCGTAGTCAGAAAGCCGAAGAACTAGAAGTTTTATTGGCACAAGCTGTTGCTGGAGTTAAATCCGGATTATACAAATCTTCGTACAGTGCTGCAAAGGCTTTACACCTTCGGCCAGACACAGTCCTTCAACGCGTTAATGGGAAACTGTCACGGAGAGAAGCTCGACAACAACAACAACTGCTATCGCCAGCGCAAGAGCAGACACTTTTAAAGTGGATTAAGGTGCTAACAATTAGTGGATATGCTCCTAGTCACCGTATATTGCGGGATATTGCTGATGAAATCCGTGTCAACCGATGCCGCGTTTTCGAACTGTCGCACCCTAACTGTCATACTGACATTCGTTGCACTCAGTTTGCTATCAAACTCAAGAGCAAACTTAGAAATCTCCTCCTCAAACCTACAAGTCACCATACATATCTTGGCTTATCACACCAACAACAGAAGTAATACTACTCAACGATTGCTGCAAACTCTTCTACTACATCTGTTTATGCTACATACATCACGGCATATCATTTGGACACTCATTGAACAAGTTATTAAGAAAATCTCCTCCTTAAGGGGGTGGGCCAATACTACCACATGGCATATCTCTACCAACTAGAGGCCTAGGAACATGAACGATAGCTCTAGAAGCTTCTACAACCCTCTATGATTTATTACACGTCATCGCTCCTTAGTTACCCACAAGATTGGTTAAGTTATGACATAATTTGTCTACAGGTACTCTGACCTTGGACCTCCTTTTCACTTCCTATAGGCTAGGAACCCAAGAGATGGTTCTATGGGTTTCTCTTACGTTCACTACATGATTAGCAAGCTAGTTGTGGGTCGCACTTGATTTCTAATACATTTACCAAGCCTGGTTAGTCATGGAAAGTCATGGAAAATGAGAGAACTACACTCCTTTGGCATAAATAGGATTGCCCTTTCCTTAAGAAAGGGCAAGCAGGCAATACATTAAATTGACTAGCACATACTTCTACGTCTTTTCCAAGCTTCCAAGCATTGATCTTGTTATTCTCTGTTTTTGAAAAGTCAGTGAGGTGCTAACCTCTGACTTACCCCTGAGTTCTCAGACTCAACATTTGTTGCAACTTGTCTAAACCACTTCACCACATCATACACCTGATTGCTGCGTTGTGGAATAGTCTAAGCTACAACCCTTTGGCTCTGTTTCCTAAGACAGTGTGTTGTCTTAGTAAATTCATCCCTTCCTTGGGTGGCTAGATTCTCATATCTGGTGCACCCACCATTACACTAACAGTCAACATGCCCAACACACGCATCACGAAGAGATTCCGAACTTTCCCCTTGGACAAGACTGGGTCCCACGGTTTATAAAACGACATCCGCATTTACAAATCCAACTAGGCAGACGGGTCGAAGCACAAAGAATGAGTGGAGTTACAAAAGATGTGTTAACGGGGTGGTTTGACGCATACAAGGACCTTGTGGCGCATCTAGGAATACAAGAACACAACGTGTATAACATGGATGAAACTGGATTTTCGATTGGCACTATGGAGTGTACTCGGATCATCGTTGATTCTACACTCCGTACATGTCACCAGGCACACCAAGGCCGGCAGGAATGGGTGTCTGCTGTTGAATGCATCTGTATGGATGGAACGACCATTAACCCTCTTATTATATTCAAGGGTCGGAACGTCTTACAAAACTGGATCCCTCCTGAGGTTATCGATAAATGGCACTTCTCTGCTAATACAAAGGGTTGGACAAGCAACTTACATGGCATCGAGTGGTTAAAACGCGTGTTTGAACCAGCAACGCATGCGAAAGCGACATCTAATGGAGCACAACAACAACAGTTACTCATATGCGATGGCCACGACAGTCATATAAGTGGAGGCTTTATATTCCATTGTATGCAAAATCGAATATCTATCCTTGTCCTCCCACCGCACACTTCCCATGTGTTGCAACCACTCGATGTTGCAGTCTTCGGACCATTGAAAAAACATCTCACAAGTGCGCTCTCACATTTGAATGAAGCGCAACTTACATGCATACAAAAAGCAGAATGGTTATCTGCATACATCAAAGCGAGAGCAATTGCGCTATCTACTCATAATATTACATCTGCGTGGAGGGGTGCTGGTCTACAACCTTTCCAACCTCAACGGGTGATCCAGATGGTGACGCTCCAACAGACAGATGTGACAGATGATCGACCAAAAACACCAACTGAGTACGATATTTTTGACACTGTCTTTCAGAACAGTAGTCCACCCGACTGTACTACATTGCGCAAAGCGAACACTGTCCTGGTTGCGGCCTTAGAGACGCGTACAGTCCTAAACACACCCACTACTCGATATATCCGTCGGTTGGCTGATGAGACTGAGCGACTTAATACACGCAACTTCTTACACCAACGCGAGGCAGATAACCTACGATCGATAATACAAACACGCAGGGCACAGAGCAAAGGGAAACGCGCAATTTTAAACGGCCAATTCCACATAACTACAGAGGAATTACGCTCCCAAGTCATTGAGGCCGAGGAGGCCACCCAGAAAGCGACTACCAAAGGCAAGAGTACAGCGACAAATATCACTGTACCTGACCAAATCGAGAATGTCGAGGAGGATGAGAACCCAGAAGAAGTATATGGCTGCATTATAGTTGAATACTAAAGTAATAATACTCTACTTTTCGCTTTCTTCGTGGTCGGTCTTCCCCCACTATCCCGTTTACGCCATTCTCCCGGTTACGCCACGACTTACGTTATTGGGTTTCGGTCCCAAAACCCTACTGCTACTCTGGGGGTTTGGGCAGGCCTTCTGAATAACATAAATAATACGTAGGCTCCGTACATAGTGTAGTTATATCGAGTTCGGATCAAACAGGGAGACCGCATTGAAATCAGACGCCCGTATTTCAACCAACCTATGGTTCCGATTGATTGACAACTCATTTGGCACCATATTTGCGCATCATTCCCAATGCGCACAATATTGAGTTCGCTGGTCTTTCAAATAGATGGTCTAGCTTGCAGTATATCTTCGATCGCACCCAATCACTGAGGTACCTTTATCGGAAACCGTTACAGGCGCTTAACCTGTCTTTGGGCTGGTTGCGGGCGGAGCTGTAGATCACTACCAAGACAAAACTGACAATCGGAGGGCCCTGATAGCATCGCAGCTACTATGTTCTAAGGCCCATTCGTCTCCCCACTCTTCGATGGAGGACTACACCAGATGTACAACTTTGTTAAGATAAGCAGAGAAATGTTGACAGAAAACTCTGGGCTAGTGGTGCATAACAGCTATTTAAGCAAAAATTTATCTCTTGCCTGGATATCATTTCACAGTCGTACAGACGACGTGAAACCGATGAGTTTTTCCACCATCAATCCAGCCAGTCCGATCTGTAAAACTCCTCCAAAACATACTGTGGATAATCGTACTCTAGGGCCCGTTTTGCTCAACAGTCCGCAAGTTACAGAGTCTACCGATTAGCCACGTTAATCGTGTATCGGAATTGTAGCCGAATTGATGTGGTGGATGGCAGATCTCTAGCTGTGTCTATTCCTCCCATAGTGGGATGGCTGCAATGCAGTGACATCGCAGGTCTTTACTCTTAGGAGACAGTTAGTGTCCAAATGCTACAATCCAGTTCCACACGTAGATCTCACCCTCGCCCAGTAAGAACTATCATTCAATCTGTTGAACGGTATTTTCATCCGGAAAGGTGTACTCTAGCCTATTCATCGCTAGTCGTTCTAAGCAATGTTTAACATTAATGGTGCCAGAGGTAAGTTACACACGTAAGATAAGTGAGTAATTCCACTAACTGCTCTACCTGGTGGGCTCGAGTCGCAGAGGCGCTAACGGATCGATCGATACGGGAAGATCGTAGCCATCCGCGAGACGAATGACATGTATTCTAACAAATCAATGGCTTCCGTAGACATTTGTAACTGAGTAGCTGTACTGCCGAGCAAGAAGAGCATTTCAAAGACTAGCTTCATTGGATTGTAGATGGGCGTGATCTCTCCTCACATGTATGTTTCATTTCTTCAGAACCATGGTCTCACTTCAGCTAGGCCTAGCCTTCAATATCACACCGCTTCCCAGAAAGCTCACAAGTCTGCCACAGTGCTGGCGGATTTGATATCAGATTTGAAGTTGTAAATCCAACTAATTAGGTGCAATTACGTTAATGTAAGACTCTCAAAGTGTGTTTACACCATGGGGACCCCTACTCTTCAGCTTGTCTCAGGGTTCAGCTTGTCTTAGGGAAAGAGAGCAAGGGCCTGTTTCTTATTAATCAAAAGCTGCGCTTACAGGCTGTTATCTAACACCCCTATAATCGAGACATAAAGTCGGTGCTCTGGGATAGTCGCCCAATATTCCGAGGTCGGGAAGAGTGCATCACCTGAGTCAAACAACGGGTGCTCAGGACATCACATGATCCAGTATCATTGAGTTCGTGGGTTAGCTCGTCTCACTACTACTACCTCCTCCACATTCTGCTAAGCTGGGGAAGCCTTTTCCGATCTAAATTATGAGATGTTTGCCTTAGACTAGAGGTTCAGTCGAGTCAGTTAGACGCACCCTATAGAGGTCAGATTTACTGTATGTGCTCTAAGACAGTAGAACATCACCGGGTAATACATGATGCCCGTCGATATTCCTATGGACTAAAATGGCCGCGGTTGGAGACATGCAAGACAAATAAGGGATCCCGGGTACTATCCGTAGTGCGCGATGAACTCATTCAAGACGGCTTAAGGCGATAAGCAGGCATTAGCCAGTCCCTTCAAAATTTATAAATATGTCCTTCATGTCCACCACCTAGCAACATCAATCAAGCTTGCTTTGACTTTATCTCATTCAGAACTATAGCGGACTTTGACTAAGCTCTTAATCATCATGAATTTTCAAATTCTCCTCGCAGCCCTTCCCCTGTTGGCTAGCCTTTGCAATGGTCAATCTTCCTTCGCCTCGCTCGGCTATGATCAGTTGTGCCCCGCAAAGAATGGCCAAGAAGTCGAAATCGAACCTGGCTTGTTTGTAACCTACCATTGCGATCAAGCCTCACCCACCTCAGTCCGTGCCGTTGGACACTATGCAAGGAACCCGGACGACTGTATCCTTGGCTGTGAGCAGAGCGATGGGTGTGTCGGAAGCATGTGGAGCGCTCGACCTGGTTCTGCATGCTCCCTAGTCGAGCATTCTAGCCAGCCCGAGCTGCGAAGCAGAACTCGAGTAGTGTACATGAGCTACCGTAGGGCTGAGGAATCGGAGGCCCCATCATGCCCGGAGGCTCCAGAATGCCCAGAGGCTCCAGAATGCCCAGAGGCTCCAGAATGCCCAGAGGCTCCAGAATGCCCAGAGGCTGATTGTGGGACTCAGATTGAAGCTTGCGAAAATAACAGCCAACTTCTCCAGAACTCTTTAAACACCTGCCAAGCAGGAGAAGACGCGTGGCAAAAGAAGCATAATGGGTTGAATCAGTGCCCCACCAAGGACAACAAAACAGTCACCCACGGAAATTGGACTTACAAGATTTACTGCAACAAACGAACCAGGGGATTTACTCAGCTTAGGTTAACTGCGGATGGGTTTGATGATTGTCTTAATGCTTGTTCTGCCGATTCTAGATGCAAAGCTGTGCACTATGTCGTCAACTGGGAAACTCCTTGCAAGTTGCTGGCGTCGATAAACCGGAATTTGGAGCCGCAACTTAGCGAAACCGTCCAGATTGCGGCTGTTCCGACCAGACCTAAATAGATCGTCCGTTTGGGAGATTTCAACTCGATATAACGGGAGAGGACTGAACAGCCTCAGTCACGATGGTGCCTGGTAGAAACAAAAATGGATGGGTTTGGGCGGAGGCTTCTAAACCGAGGGTTGCAAGGATTTGGGTTATAGAGAACGTTTCGGGGGGTTGTTCTCGAATAGATCTTTATTTCCTCTTCAAATCTTTATTCCGTCAATCATTTTATATTTCATGGTTTTATTAAATAACATGCAACTGAAGCTGAGCGATACTAGACACCTTGGATGCTCATGGAAAGTTCTGAAAGAACACCCATGGAGTTTAGCCACGCGTTGCCACAGTTCTGATGAGCCATAGTCCTGATGAGCCACAATCTCGCCAAACGGCATGATGTCATAAGCGAAATTACATCGTAATCATTGTAGGCTGTGGGGGTCACTGCCATCCTACGGCTTACACAAAGCCTTCGAAATTGATTAGAGTAGTGGAATTTCGTTTAATTGAGAAACGTTTGAACAAGCAGTCCGTAAGTGTACGGTGGATGAAATCGACAAAGTTTCAGGTGTGGCGTACAAACACTACCACTAAAAAGAAAGCATTGGCTGATAGGCTAAGACGAGCTTACTAAAGAGATTACTAAACTAGAACGGATTAATTCGGAAAAAGAAACGCCCAAAAATCGTTAACGTACATGTATAGCGAAAGCGCCAAACAAGCGAAAGCGCCAAAATGATGCGGTGACCAAACCCCCCAACTAAATGTTAAATTCCTCAACAACAAAACATGCCCCATAAAAACGATGAAAGCCAATTAGTGCTAGCTATCCAGGCTATGCAAAGCGACCCAAAGTTACGCCTTCGAGTTGCTGCTAGGATCTATTCTGTGGACCACCGCAAGCTAGGTCGTCGTCTAGAAGGTGTACCTTCACGACGCGATATCCAAGCCAACTCACGGAAATTAACTAACCTAGAGGAGTCCGTCCTTGTTCAGTATATACTCGACCTAGCTGCCAAAGGGTTTCCTCCTCGGCTGTCTGTTGTTGAAGATATGGCAAGTCGACTACTTGCAACACGCGACGCGTCACGCGTTGGGTCGCGTTGGGCTTCAAACTTTGTTAAGCGGCGTGTAGAGCTCCAGATACGCTTTCAGCGCAAATACGACTACCAGAGGGCTAAGTGCGAAGATCCAGAAGTTATTAATGGCTGGTTTGAGCTTGTGCGTAACACAATTGCGAAATATGGTATCGATGAAGCAGATATCTACAACTTTGATGAGACTGGGTTTATGATGGGCGTTATCTCAACTGCTATGGTTGTAACAAGCTCAGACGGGCGGGAAAAAGCAAAGAAGGTACAGCCTGGTAATCGGGAATGGGTTACAGTAATCCAAGGCGTTAGTTCTCAAGGTTGGGCAGTACCACCATTTATCATTGTTGCAGGCAAACACCACCTTACATCTTGGTATGAGAATAGTGGATTTTCAAGCGATTGGGTGATTTCTGTTACTGAAAATGGCTGGACTACAAACGAGAGAGGCATGGATTGGATTCAGCACTTTGAGAAGCATACAAAGGCCCGGAGTGTTGGTGGTTATCGCTTGTTAGTCCTTGATGGTCATGAGAGCCACCACTCAGATGAGTTTGAGGAGTACTGCAAGGAACACAACATTATTACGCTTTGTATGCCTGCTCACTCTTCTCATCTACTCCAGCCACTTGATGTTGGCTGTTTCGGCCCGTTAAAGCAGGCCTATGGTCGGCAAATTGAAGATATGATGCAGGCTCATATTTCTCATATTACAAAGGATGACTTCTTTCCTGCCTTCCACACTGCATTTAACACTACAATGACGGAAAGTAACATTTGAGGCGGGTTCCGAGGGGCAGGGCTTCTTCCATTTGACCCTGAGAGAGTGATATCTACACTTGATCTTAAGTTAAGGACACCAACGCCTCCAAGCTCCCGCCCAGGTACTGCTCAACCTTGGGTTTCTCAGACACCAAACAACCCAATTGAAGCTATGTCACAGTCTACATTTATTAAAACTCGGATTTCACGCCATCAAAATAGCTCTCCAACCTCAATCTATGCAGCTGTTGACCAGTTTACAAAGGGTGCATCGCAAATAATGCATCAATTAGCACTGCTAAAGGGAGAGAACCAAAACCTACGACAGGCAAATGAAGTACTAAGCAAGCGCCGGAGAGCTAGGAAAACACGACTACAGCAAGGAGGATCACTTAGTCAACAAGGGGCGCAAGAGCTACAGGATGAGAGGGATGTTGTGCAGCAGGTAGAGCAGGAAATAAGGGCAAGCCGTGGTCGGAAGCCAAGGGAAGAAACCCGTGCCCGTCGCTGTGGCAAGTGTGGTGAGACTGGGCACAATGCGCGCACGTGTCAGATTGTAATAGACACCTCTGAGGAAGAGGACTCCGAGTAGTTTCAATTGATTTCTAATGTTGTGGTAGATTTATCGCAATGTTTGTCGTGAGGGTAGATAATTTTGGCGCTTTCGCTTGTTTGGCGCTTTCGCTATACATGTACGTTAGTTGCATTGAATCGAGGCATTAATCCGCGTGGTTACATGCATCACGTGGGTGCTAGCCTGCGGCTCACACGAAGCCTTCGAAATTGATGAGAGTAGTGGACTTTCAATTGAGAAACGTTAGAATAAGCAGTTCGTAAGTGTAAGGTGGATGAAATCGACAAAGTTTCAGTTGTGGCTAGGCTGCGCACTGGGTACTCACGAGTCGAGTAGTAGAATTTTTACTCACCCAGCTGAGTTACTCGCTCATGTCCCGAGTATTGTTGAATGAGGATTACTCACTTGCTGAGTACCTAGTATGGGTCTTGGCAACTCAGTTATATCACGTGTTTGATTAGCCATTACTTATGTTAAAAACGGGGTGCGACTTCATTGATCAAGACGCCATAACTCCAACTCCATTCCCATATTGTTGATGTCCTATTCCACACTATAACCTTTGGCCTTTAGGTACCAGGTTACCAGATGGTTGCCAGAACTCATCTGACCTTCATTCCTGGGTGAGAGACATTTCCATCGATTAAGCCCACAGCTTAAACATCATATCCTGCAAACGCCGAACCAATATCATACCCTTTGCCTGAATTGTCACTCTCTTCGCATGAATAGCGAGGAGGTTTGTCACTATAACTGTTAGTATGTCCCTGTCACTATGTTTAAACATCATACTCTCAAATTCTCGAATAAGGAAGCATTCAGCAGCTTCCTAAAGAGCTAGGATAGCAGATTGCTGGAAGCGAAGATTGGACTTGAAGTCTACTGTGATTTCCCTAACAAGACGCTGGAATGGGAGCTAGTATCAAGTTGCTGTCTTCTGATATCGCGGAGAGCCTTGGTGCCTATATGTTTATTAGAGAGTTCTGGTAATCCTCTGGTAATCCTCTGGTAATCCTCTTACTAGACTTTGTGCAGCGCGTGGCCTTCTGAGCATGATTGTTGCTAGCTTGAGATGAGCAAACTGGAGCTTTTCTTGCTGTGCCCACAGCCTTTTCCTGTCCCTTTCCGCCAAGCCCAGAGCCAGCCCGTAATCCAAGTGGCATCCTTGGTGCTATGCCGCCAGTTGATCTCCTAGCAGTTTGCTTGGTACGAGTCATTTGCTAATATCAAGGTGAGTTAGTAAAGTAAACACAAGATAAAGAAGTAGATCAAAAGATATGTGTACTTACAGTGAGTTTGTAGAAAGAATATTGCAGAAGAAGAGTATAGTAAAGAGGTAGAGGTTGAAAGGTATGTGTTTTATATGAAGGTGCGCATTGTGGTGTTGTTTTTGGAACAGTAATTCTTTGTAGGTGAATATTCCTTCACAAATATTTTTGTTTGCAACTTTAAAATAACCACGACCTTAGAACCACCTTCCTTGGTTACTCTCCGATCTACACATTCTTCTTCGCTTTTGAGCCTTTACCTCTTCACTAGGACTTCAACTAAGTTTATTATCTTGATTCTATAGCCAGAACTTCTGGAGATCTCTGCTAATCACGTGTTTAGTTAGTATGGCGAAACTCAAGGCACATGAAGAACTCTCCACTAATGCGAATACTATCAAAGCTCGCAACTGCGTCTCCAACCTTACTGAAGATGAGAAGGCTGTTCACTTAGCACTCAAGGCTGACCATGCTGATCTGAGCTACTACTTAAAGAAGTTATATAAGTCTGCAAAGTGTAAGGATGCCTCCTTACCTAGATACTCGAAGAACCCGCCTCAGAGCTGTTACGGTCACCACAAGCATGAAATCCGACTCGGTGTGGTTTCGGACCAGTAGAGGAGGACATAGCGAGTTACACTATAGTGGGGGACAGTAAGGGTGTAGGGTTCAGGGTCGATGCGGACCTGTTGCGGTGGAAGGTTCAGGGCTAGGGTTGGGATAACCGAGTCGGGCCCGTTTCGGGTACTTAAGGAAACAAACTTAACGGGGTTCCCCCTTCATCTTTTTTGTATCCTTCGTAGTAGACCTATAGGATAGCATCCTTTTAGCCTCCAACTCGCACTCTCATATGCTATTACTGTGAGCTGGGTGCCCTGTGTCATTACACAAAGTATATCGCTGCCTCTACTGAAGACAAGACACGTCTACAGAATGAATTGAAGGTTGAGCGTATTTGTGTTCGGTAAGTTCCTTCTGATAATCTCTGGTAGCCTCAATCTAACTATAAACAGGACTGAGAAGGGTACCCATGCATCTTGCATTGCGAATCAGAAAGTCAAGAATATTAGCGCCTCTTCTTCTCCACAAGCCCCACCATCTACTCCGCCCAAACAACTTCTGTCTGAGCTTGCTGCATTTGAGGGTATCTCAAGTATTCCAATCGATGACAATCATAACAGTGAATGGGAGGATACTGAGGTTGAAGACGATTTGGAGTTGGAGCTTATGTTACAGCGCGAGATATTTTAAATGACGAGGCTGTTCTACCAGATGAGCTTTCCGATGAAGAGATCACTAGCACCCAGGCTCTCTTAACTCAAGCGCACATTGATGTATGCTACCTCATAATCTGGTAATCTTCTGGTGATACTAATAGTTGATAGGCCCATGAAGAGTCCAATTTCCGCAAGTGGCAACATTTCTGGGATAGCTGTATCCACTCATATACGAGAAAGGCTGGAAAGCTGAGAAAGAAGCCTGAGCGTCTCTTTGAGTATATGCCGTGGATTGATGTAGAGGAAGGGTACGTCTCTGATCATCCTAGCAATCTTCTGGCAATACTAATTGTTTATTATAGCACTTTTCACGAGGTTATCCCACCACATAAATATTTCTGTTTGTACGAGCAGGCAGTTTGGAAAGTGGGCCTAATTACCAGGACCTGTGCAGTGGTACCCAAAGTCTTACAATCTTGTCGACAATGGATGGTTGCAAATATCCACTCATAGTTCTAGCTTCAAAGAGGCGTTCTTACTTGTCTACTCTAAGAAGTTTGATAAGGAAAAGTGGGCTAAGGTATCAGCTGCACAGGATATGTTGTTCCTGGAGCTAGAGTAGAGGAGAACTTGAGTTGCTAAAGTTATAGCGCTGGAGTACCTTTCGCGTTGGAAAACCAGGTATTTAAGTACTTCATCGTAGCCAGACTTCTGGTAACCTTCTGATAATCGAGCAATTTGCCAAATGCCATCTCAATACTCAGAGTTGTTTGATTCTGACAGTATTCTCAGACTCTTTTCCGTCTTCTCAACGACTATCCTCATTAAATCAAGTCTGTAAGGACACAGGGCACCCAGCTCACAGTAATAGCATATGAGAGTGCGAGTCAGAGGCTAAACGGATGCTATCCTATAGGTCTACTACGAAGGATACAAAAAAGATGAAGAGAGGAACCCCCGTTGGGTCAATCTCCTTAAGTACCCGAAACGGGTCCGACTCAGCTAACCTGCCTTAACTCTTATCATGTGACCGTAACCTGCCCGACTCAGATCCTTTCCATCACTGAGGGACAGGCATCCTTACAAAGTCCCTGCAGGCCTTGAATATATTGGCAAGTTAAACCAATTCGTCAAATGGACTAAGGATACACACGATATATTCATTGAGTGGTGGAAGCTATCACGATGGTATGAACAACACTCAGATCATACTACAAAACTCCTTATGAAGATTGCATGGGATTCAACCAACTGGAGTTCTCAATACTGGAGAAGTTATCACCAAGGAGCAGACCGGCTTTCTGGAGAACCATGTGTTATTTGTACTTATTGTTCGAAGGCCCTTACGCATCCTGCAATCAAGTCTGCTGGCCCAAAGTCTATGGCAACACATCTTGCATCAGACATTTGCAAAAAGAAGTCACAGATGGGAAGGATAGTCTCTATCAAATGCGAATCAATCAAATGCAACCTCAACAAGTAAGGATTACCAGATTATTACCAGAATTATGTAGGTTAATACCTATAATAAGATCATATTCTCACACAAGAGACATTTTATGAACAAGTTCTATACACAGTTATCTTGACTCATAGCTCGTTCCGCTCAGTCGAGGATCCTCATCAAGACCCTATAAATACTTTAGGTATTAGTAGGTCTGGCCGGCCTCATCAAGCAAGGTGGAGGGATGTTCTTAAGCATATATAATAGATAATAGCGTTCTAATAATCTTCTGATAATCATGGTACTTAGATAGAGGAATATACATGATTCGTTCTCACAGCTTACTAGAGATGGCGAGAGTGATGCTAATAGATGTAATACTTTAACTTAACCATAAAACAGTATTAATCGTATGAGGGACTGTTCACATGATGCATAAATCTTACACGTGATAGCCGAGTACTCACCGGGTTTTTACAGAGTAACTGAGTATTGACCTCACTCACCGAGTCGAGTAAAAGGTTCAGCTACTCACCCAGCTGAGTAACCCACTGAGCGAGTGAGCCGAGTATTGAGCGAGTAGTGCGCAGCCTAGTTGTGGCGCACGGACAGCAGCAACACACCCAGACTAGCACGTGACACGAAATATGAGAAATAGCAGGATCGGATTAAGTGGACAGAGAAAACACACCAAGCACGGATTATATTTACAGCGATGTGTAAGAAACAATACGGATTGTATTTCCACCGATTTATAAGAAACCACGCGAACCACGTTCGGAAAAGCGCCAAGGCCGGATCGAAGAATCGCCGAAGCGCCCACCCTCTCTTCTTATCGAAGAACCTTCTTATTTTAGACTCCGCTAAAATTTCGAAGGCAAATTTCGAAGGCAATTTGCGCTACACACCTACCGCAAGGCTAATGACGATCTCCTGCGTGGCAGGTGAGGCCATAGAGTTTAGATAAGACCCTTTATATGTATTAGGAGTGATAAGAGCTCAATAGTAGAGCTATGATGGAGGAACTCTATTGCGCTGTGAATAGAGACTCTCTGCAAATCAGGCGGGAGGGCGACAACGTCAACGTGATTTTCTAGTAGGAGGGGTTTAGAGTGTTCAAGTAGTAGCCACGGAACACGACTGATGCAAAAATATAGGAGATATCGATGCCTGCACAGATTTTGACATTATTAAAGTCAAAGTACCCATCTTTTTTTCCTGCACAGTGAGTTTTCCTCCACGTAGGGAGGGACGTTACAGGAATGAATGAATAGTAGAGATTCCTAATTGAGATAGAACAACAGCATCCTATAGGTTGACCATCCCTGCATCAACGTTTTCTCACTGACCCCCTGTAGCCATGGCGCTTAAAGTGCACTTGTCCTCATTTGGAAACTCTGGCCAACGATGCCCTGGCCACCGTCACTAGAGCACTACTCACGTCTTCAATCTTCCTCTTTGTAGTTCTTTCAATTACCATAAGCTTCTTCCGCACCTTGAGAGGCCGCAAACATGTCTCAAACTTATGAAAGTTGTACTACAAACAGCGACTGGGAGCAGCAACGAGACCCTCATTCACCAAGATCTGCTCCAGCATCACTTCTGTATAGGCGGAAGAAAGCCCTTGAGGAGAGCCAGCTATGGCACAATCTTCCACAGCGGTCAACAGCCTCAGCACCTCACCTCTGCCAATCATGACGGCGGCGAAATATGCCTTCATTTCGGTAGCAGTTGCGGCTGGGCTGTATACGGCACTACTGGGACTGCTGACGACGTCGACCTTTCAATCCCATGTTGTTTACCTGCACGCAATTCAGATGACGTGGTGCAAGGATCTCGATGTTCCTGAGATCTTTGGCTTTCTAAAGAACCAGGTTACTCCTTTCTCTATTGAGACATCCGATGGTGAACATCTTTACGCCTGGCATATTCTTCCCAGAGAGTTGTATCGCAAAAACGAGCGTCCTCTTGTTGCTGAACCAACTGGTTTCGTTTCCGATATCACGTCTCGACTAGCTTTCCAACTTTTGCGCGATAATCCTGATGCTCGACTAATTATTCACATGCATGGTGCTGGGGGAACCGTGGGCTCGGGCTATAGAGTTCCCAACTATCACGCGCTGTCGGCGGGCCAGCCTGGAAAGATTCATGTCTTGACATTTGACTATCGAGGATTTGGGCGTAGCACCGGCACACGGTCCGAGAGCGGACTTATACTGGATGCCCTTGCCGTTGCGGACTGGGCTATGAACGTCGCCAGCATCCCTTCCTGCCGTATTCTCATCTTTGCTCAATCTATGGGCACGGCTGTGAGCATCGCTGTGTCTAAGCACCTTGCTCTCCAACATCCACCCGTCGTCTTTGCAGGCACCATTCTAGTTGCACCATTTGTTGATGTCGCAACACTTGTCGCGACCTACCGAGTCGCAGGAACTATTCCTGTCCTGGCGCCGCTTGCGAAGCTCCCGCTGCTGTTCAACTACCTTCAACGCTTTATACAGGATAAATGGTTGAGCAAAGACAACATTGCACAATACGTCCGAGCTAATGAAGTTAATGGAGAGATGTATCGCCTAACGATCATACATGCCGAGGACGATTATGATATTCCATGTCATCACACCCCCACTATCTTTTGGCATGTTGTCAACGCTTCAGTGTATTCAGGAATAAGCTGCGACGAACTCGAAGCAAGAAAATTGGAATCCAAGGTAGATCTGGGCGCTGCAGGGTCAGTCATGGAATGGCGGGCAGAAAACGGTGTTATTCGGGAGGAAATTCTCAAGACTGGCTTACATGATGTTATTATGGGCTACCCAGTAATAACAATGGCCGTTATGCGCTCTTTTGAAGCTGTGGATCCGTCATTTACAGGCTGAATCAGAGTAGAGATATGTAGGCTATGGGATATTAGGATAGAGTCATATATTTATGCCTAGAACACTCTTGGGATACTGTTTAAAATTGAACTGTTTCTTTCGATGTCTGTAGTGATTTTCACCGCTGTCCCCCGATTTGGATCCCTCTATTCCGCCACTACCATCAACAAGTACTTCGTGTGTCCCAGCCGCTCTGGCGAGTTAGAGCCCTGAACTGAGGATACAAGTGTGATAATATTTAAAGCATCTATGAGTGTAGGTACAGTAGTTGCTGGTTAATACCACCAGCTGCCTACCAGGCAGTCACCTCATGCTGACTTCTGGTGTCCTACCATAGACTTGCTACTGCGTTGCACTGTTTGTGACGAGGTGGTTCTGAGAATCCATTCTTTGAATTGAGATCGGTGTCCAGGTTGGAGTGGTGGAGCTGTATTTTCCGCGTGTCTCCTTAATTGCGCCCAGGTTTCTTCGAGTATACTTTGCTCCCCTCACAGAATGCGGTTTCTAGGATTCAGGGTACTTGACCTCTAGAGGTCAAAGCACCGAAGCAAGCCGACCGTCTCCCGTTTCCGCGAAGCCGCTGTCATGATCAAAGACACAGGACGCAGGAACAGGGAAGCAGAAGGCTGACAACGGAGGACGGTTTTGGTGGTGGTCTTGGCGCGAGAGCCACAGCTATTGGAAGCGGAGAGGTAAGGGTAACGGCTATTAGAAATGATGTGCTTTAAATGAGAGAATTAAGTTGAATCTATGCCAACCCAGGTTAAAATCCTAGAATACCAATGCTGATTCCCCGAAAATGCCGAGCATAAATCACGGCTGGAGTTGGAGGGCTAAGTCTTTGTTCAGGGGGCATCCAAGGGTAGGACACTGCCTCCTCTCTCTGCAGCAGGCTTGAATATCGCTGTTCGTCTAACAGCGGTATGAGCTCTCTGTTCAGACGAAGCGGAACTTTATTTGATTAAACAACAAGAGCGTATATTTCACGGTGCTATTACAGTATCATAGGGAAGCAGAAGGAGTCCATGACCTGTTGTATTACAATTTATCTTTGTAGCTGGGGCCCGAAATATACTCTATAGTTTCTCATTGCTATATAGCTGCAATGCAATACCAACACGATCTTAGGTTCATATTGAAAAACTAATCTAATTCCATCATCCATCTTCAGTGCCTGATAATGACTACTTTGCAAAACTTGAAGAGCATCATTATCTTACGGCCAATATGTAGATAAAACCTCCTCCGAGCCTTCTGCTGGAGTATTGTGAGATAAGTCGATGTATTGAAATATACCAGAGGTATCATTGGCATCCTCTATAATTGGAAGGCTCCAACTATTGGCAGGCATTCCATGAGAAGATAGTGGATACTTTTCATCTAGGTCCACTGTCGCATTTGTCCCAACCCAGAAGTCCTTAGGAAGGTTCCAACTTTTGGCAGGCATATCAAGATAAGACGGTGGATATGTCTCATCCAAGTCCATGATCGCATTCGCCCTAAACAAGGGATCCCTAGGGTCGAGTATAAAATCGTCTTTGAATTCCGGGCTAGTTTGTTTCATTATCTTTTCCCATGTGTCGTCTGCTCGCGAGGCAAACCCAGAAACCTCGCTCCATTCGAAGTCAAACTCTTCCTTCTGGTCTTGGTCTGTGTCGAGGTCAAACAAGGGGTCCTCAGGGTCGAATTTGAAATCGTCATCAAATTCTGAGCTAGTTTGTTTCATTATCTTTTCCCATGTGTCGTCTGCTGGTGAGGCAACCCCAGAATCCTGACTCCATTCAAGGTCAAACTCTTCCTTCAGGTCTTGGTCTGTGTTGCTTTCCGACCAGACTTTTGAAGCACCACGACCACCTACCATCACACCACGCGTTACGGCAAAACCTTTTTCTGGGAGGCCATGACAATCGTAAAAATGAACCTTCAGGTCTTTCAAACTTGGATGCGAGAATCTTCCATGGCACAGTGGGTGGGGGCAGCAGACGTCAACGTCTTCTTTCATCTTGCGGTAGTGAGAACTTTGCAAGTGAACGTTAAATCGCCCCCTATCGGTAAACTGCCGTACGCGGTCGCTAGCTGACAACTTCTGACTGCCGAGGCAGAAAGGACAAGTAATGCCTGCTACAACTGTCCCATGGCGGCGGTCGAGGTCGCAGCTAGCCTGAGGGCTGGTCAGATGCTCCTTGCAGTGGTATTCCCATGCGAATTCACACGTAAACCAGCCAAGAGACGGATGTTGCAAGCAGAACTGCGGCCTGAACGGAGACTGGCGCGTTGTTATAGAGTGAAAGTCGAGCAAGTGTCTTAGCAGCTCAAAACGTGATGACAGCTTTTGGCCGCATCCATTCCACCGACATGTAGAGTCTGAAGTCTCAAGATGCCATCGAAAATGCGCCCAGTATTGTTTTAGGCTTATAGATGGGTTATAATTGACCTTCCTAGCTTTCGAGCTCCGGCAGTTGTCCCAGAGGCATGTCGTGGCAACGCACTCAGAATGCTGAATCTCGGACGTCGCTAAAGATTTTTTTTTGTGGCATTGATGAATATGTAGGGCTCTCTCCTGTTGAGGAAGGCTGCATCCGTTAGTATAAACTTATAAATATCAGTTGACCAATTTACCTTTCCATCTCGAAACTACAGATGTTGCACTTTCCGTCCACGGGTATTTTGTTTGGATAATATAGAACATACGGTTCGGGAGCAGATAAAGCCTGGAGTGCTTCAAGGACACTGGTATCCGGAAGCCCCTTGCTCTCAGTTTCAGTGCGGAAGAATACCTCTGCAATATGCTCTCTTGCGGTGAAGTATCCAGCAGAAACGCCTCTACTAGAGTGGTGTCGATCGGAAAAGTTGTCAGAAATAGATATCTCTTCATCACTTCCCTCCATGACTCGAATCTGGCGTTGGACTTCTCTTGGTCCAACTTCTTGAAAAAACTCTGATCTATACCTCTTATAGGCATTATCATAAGCTCGTCTGTAGTAGTTCTTGCGTTTGCTTATAGCACTTGCCAAACTCTTCTCTAGCAGTGGTCCCACGCATTCCTTGTTTGCTTTGGCTTGAGCAACTTCATTCAAGACATCTGACTCGATAGTTTCCAGGCGTTTGTATTCTGGGTCGTTAAGGATCTTCTGGTTCTCCGAATGTGGAAGGCTAGCTGGGGCATGCGACTGTTTGTAGAAATTCATGCCCTGCATTTTATCTAGACGCTCTGTCTCTTGCGCTGCTTAAAGGAAGAGGTTCTGCGAGTCCACCCTAACTTCATTCGAGGCATAATATTCAGCGGATGTCTTAGTGGTGTGATTCAACAACTTCGTGTATTGCTCAGCCGTGATTTTACCAGCTATGGCGTTGGCCGTACCACGGCGAAAGTTATATGGCCGAAGAACAGCTTGAAGACCAAGACGCTGGCCTAGCTGATTTGCTTGGTTTCGAAGGACGTCGTATGTCACGGCTTTGATTGGGCTTATTGCGCCTTCTGAGTACACCCGGCAAACTGGGACTTCGAGCATGGTCTCTTTGATCTTGAGTGGCAAATGGCCATGCTCGCCAATTTTTAGGTGGCCAAGCTGCCTTGGATGTAGGTTCTCAAAGGCCTGGTCCGCAAAAGCAAACCCAAGGAACATAGTGATAGGGCATTGCCCTCGACACTTGCGGTCTTCGTGGAGGGTCATAACAGTAGCTCTACTCTGTGTTAACTCGTGGCGTGGAACAAGGGCAAAGTACCAACCTCGCAAAGTTTCTCCGACCCTTCGCAAGCCGGAGCGTGACCTTTTAAGATAAGTTCTGGCCCGTCACACGCAGGCATTAAGAGCAGCTCAAAATCTTATGATGACATTTAGCTTAATTTCATATATTAGAGATGTTCCTACCTTGTATTTTAAGGAGTCATTCGATTTAGCATAAGCCGAAGAGACTACTATAGTGCCTGGGCGAGCTCCAGTATATGCCATGATCTGTATCAAGAATGCAATCTGAGATCGGTAACGAGGATGCTGGAAGTCGTACGAATCGTGAGTCCACAAGTACTGCAGGAGTTGAAAAAAATCAACCGAATCAACGAGGTCTTTCTCTCTAAGGGCGTCTTCAACGCCATGTGTGTTGACAAACTCTGTTTCGATGTACTAACAAATTGTTAACGCTGAAATATACATGGAATGCAAAGCTAACCCCGCAGACATGCTCGTTGAGCGCTTTCGGTATCTTTGTTCCTGTCTCTTGATAGATCATGGCGCACAAGTCTCGCAACCGGTTTTTCATCGAGACTTGTGTAGGCTTGCTTCTTAATGTGCCATTGCTGGTTTCAGCATACCAGGCTATGAAATTCTTTAGGCGCCCAGGAGTTGGACAAGAAGACCCCCTTGCGAGACGTTTCTCCCCGTCTAGGCCAATGTCCATATGGTACCTGTTGGGTTAAAACATGATACTTATCATGGACGGATCTACTTACTCGCGCCAGCGTTTCTCCAAGTGACCATAGGATTTAATTGAAGGTTGTGTAAGCTGTTTGCGGTGAGTTTGACCATCGAGCCTCTGTTCCCTGGCTAGAAGTTGGTTCTGCGACGACCTGTCGACCACAGAATCATCTAGCCTGTGCTCTTCAGCGTTTTGCAGCTGTGTCTGAAATGTAAACATGATGACTTGGTCTGTTTTAGAAAAAATTGAACAGATTAAATCTCAGAATAAAGAGGTGTTGGAGGTGAGTGGTCAATGAACCAAAGTCGGGAGGTTTTGGGCGAGTTGTCAATCAACCTCTGGACATCAACCTCTGGACAGTCGATTTACCGTTTGCGGGATTTGGAAAGCCGAGTTCCAACATTGGAAAACGGAGAACTTTATACGATAATCGTAATACTTACTACAGTATTGTCTGCCTTGCAAAGCGCTAGCTCGTGCATCTTCCCGTTTTGCGATGACCGTGTTACCGTTGGCCGTTTCGTGTGGTGGTGTTGTCAGATAAAGCGGCATTGGCCTTAGAACCGTTCACGCGATACAGCAATTGGTTATCAAGTTCCCATCAACGGAAATCTCGAAGTCGTTGCATTCAGCGATCATCTCCGGCAGAGATGCCCAATTCTCTTGAGTCTATGGTCGTATGTGGTAGTTACTCGCATATCCAATATAACTAATCCCTATCTCAAACATCGCATGCAGTTCCAACATCGTAGCTCCTAGACCTCACTATTTCGGTCTCGACGACGCTTTAAACGCACGAATAGAGGAGCGAAAGTACAAGCCATGTAACAGTGTGGGATCGCACATTTTAGTTCCCAAAACTCTCATCTGATAGCATCATAGCCGTACACACTTTGCCACCCTGCGCAGACACTGCCCTCCCAAACTCCGACCAACAGGATCTCTTCACCACTACTATACACACAAGCACCGCATCCATCCAGGTCATCCACCATCACTATCAAGACAACAGACACACACAATATAACAAACTATCCATCATCCATTCCCATCTATCTATCCCCCCAACCCCATACATACAATAACGCCACCACCCACCATCTAATTCCAAATCCCCAAACCAGATCCAGATTCCCAAATCTAACACAAAAACACACCCGCGTATATCCCATTCCCCCCACGCGATGCCCATTTAAAAAAAAATCCAGATCCAAATCTTCATAATCATCGTAAAAAAAAACGAAAACGCCCGAAGACACAAAATCTACCCGCCGGAATGCAGAAAGTTCACCCCCTAAACCCTCCCCTCCCCCGCCCCATCTGCTGCTGGAAGTACTGTTGCTGCTGATACGTCGCCGGGGACCCAGGGGCCGATTGCTGGTCATACACCTCCATTCCTCCTGGACTCTGGTTGCGTTGCTGAGGTTGTCCATACGCGCCCATCGGGCCCGGAGATTGTGCCCGTTGCTGCGGTTGCCCATAAGCCACCTTCGGCCCCGGACTATGCGACCGATGTCTCTGCTGTCCATACGCCCCCATCGGCCCCGGACTCCGCGCTCTCCCTGGCTGTCCATACGCCGGCCCCGGCCCCGGACTCACCGCTCTCCCCCCCGGACTCTGCGCCTGCCCCTGCCCATGCACGACTCTCTGCCCCATCGCATGAAGCACACCCTGACTATTAACCCCCCTAACCACATCCCGTCTCTCCCGCTCCCTCGCATCAATCATCCCCACCAACCCCCCCAACGCCGCACCAGCACCACGACTAGAAGGTCTCGCGCTCTCGCGCTGCAAGGCGTCGAAGGAGGAGTTATTCCTAACGTGCCCGGGTCTACCCCCTGCCCCGATAGGAGGGGTGGGGGTATTAGCGCGTAAGGTGCTCGCGGAGGCTTGGCGCGCGTGGCCTTGTGCGACTGCGGCGGCGGCGGCGCGTTGGGCGACGAATTCTTCGGGGGTGAGACCGCCGGAGGAGGAGGGGAGGGGGAATGCCATGCCTGGTGCCCAGGCGAGTGTGCGGGATAGTTGTTTGGCGTGCGTTGATGCGCGGTGGGTGGGTGGTTGTGGGGTTTGTGGTTGATATTGGGGGTTGTCTGCGGAGGGCTTGGATAGGGGGTTAGTGGTGGCGGCGTAGTTGATGGTCGGTCCGAAATCTATAGTTGGGATGTCGGAGGGGGTGTTGGGCGTGGAATCGCCGTAGCCGCCGACGGTGCGCATCATCCCGCTGCGAGGCCGATCGTAGGCTGTGCGGGCGGGGACGGGTTGGTCGACTGGTGGCCCTTCTGTGGGGGAGTTGGTGTAATTGCTCGTATCGCTCACGTGGCTTAGGTTCGTGGTCTGTCGCGCAACAGGGTCCTCTGGTTGGTTTTCGCGCGGCTGGATGCTATCGAAGGCCTCTTGGTTCATGTGCAGACTTCCGATTGTTGATGCTGCGCCGGGGGAGATAGGGTCATGAGTTAGGGGCCCGATGGGTGCCACTGGGGTTCCGGCCGGGAGCGGCTTTCGCTGGAGACTGTTGCGGTTTGCGCTGCGGGGTTGCGAGCCGGCGGTGTCCAGAGATGGGGTCTGCGCATGTCCTTGGACGTATGGTGGCGGATACGCAGGCACAATGACGGTTGGCCGGACGGCAGTGCGTGGTTGCTGAGCGTTGTTGACGGAGTTATAAAACGGCGCTCCACCCGCATCCTCCGGAGCCCGCATTTGCAGCGACTCCGGGTGCCGTTCGAAAGAGAGTCTATTACCTCCCACTATCACTCCTTCAGCACCGGAAGCCATGTTAGCATTCATCCCAGGGTTAGGGTCGTCGAAGACATGTACTCCTCTTGGCAATCCCCTCCTCGTCTCATCGGCGACGCGCATCTCCTTCAGGCCCGCACAGTACTGCGCGACGCCCTGCGTGGCCGCGGCGCCGCCCGCGCCCGCAAACTGCGACAGCGTGCCGTTCGACATGCGGCTCTTGGCGCGGCGCAGCTCGGGCGAGTTCTGCAGTTTCGCGGACGGCGGGAGCGTGCCGGCCGCGTGCGAGAAGGCCGGGGGTCGCGAGACGGGCTCGACGCCGCCGGGGCCGAGCTGGAGGTCGCGGAGCTCTTGCGCGGGGGCGCTGGGGGAGTGGTCGTCCTCGGGGTAGGTCTGTTGGGGCGGGGAGGTCGCGTTGTATTCGTGGCGGAGGTCGGAGTCGATGTGGTTCCTGTGTGGTGGGAGCGCGGGTGGGGCGTCGGATCCTTTGTAGACGGCGAAACCGTTGTTCTGGAAGCCTTCGGACACCGAGCGTGAATGGTGTTGTGCCTGTGCGGCGGACGGATATGGCGGGTATGGGCCTTCTAGAGGTGGGGCAGAATCTGTACGTGGAGCTGGGACGTCGACTGGTGGCGGGCCCCACGAAATGGATGGGTTGGAGCGAATGGACGCCCTGTCGTTGAAGCCATCCCTCAACGTATTTCTCCTGCTGCCGCGCCTGCTGCCGCCGTTCTGGCTGATGGCAAACATGCGCTTCGCAGTAGAATCCTTCAGTTTCCGCCTCCACTCACCCTCGCTCCAGGTCTGGCTTCCCTCGGCCGAGATCAGAGCGGCGACACCGAGAACGTCAAGGTACCCGTAACGTCTCTCGTTCGGCATGGCGAACATCAGACTCCGCGGGTCGTTCGTATCGGCGACCAACCGTTCAGGTCTTCCGTAGAGCGCGAAGGTGTCGAAAACGGGGAAGAGCCAGCGCAACATGATCTCAAAACCACTAACGGCAGCGTGTACCTCTGGCATAATGAAGACGAAGCCCTCCGTAAACGTCGGCGGGTCAGAGTGAATCGTAATAATTCCCTCGAGCTTAATCAGAGTGGACGGGTCAATGAGCGCCTTGGACTGGGGGTAAATCGCAAAAGCCGAAAACGCATCACTAATAGACGCGATCGGTCTAGACTTCTTCGTAACCTTCTTCGTATCGTAGAACTTGATATCGCCCTTCACCACGGGCGGCCTGCTGCGGTCATACGCCGACCTCCTCTTATTGAAGTCCTTCTGCAGCTTGTGCACCTCCTTCTCATCCGGTGGCGTGATGACGCACCAGCACTGTCTCCATGGCGTACCAGCGCCAAAGCGCACGCGGACCCAGTCCTCGTACTTGAACGTCGATCGCGCCAGGATGATGTTGATGTTGTTGAGGGACTTGCCCTTGCCGGCGATCAGCGCGCCGGTGTACGCCTCCTGGAGAGTCGCGTACTCGAACATGGCCAGGCGGATACCGGCGGTCCACTGCACCAGGGAGTGGTGCGAGTTGAAATGCAGGAGGTACCTGTTCTTACCCGCTGTCGATATGCTGAGCACATTCTGGAGGGGCTGATCGTCATACGATCTCGTGGGGAGCGACTCGATCTGTGTGATAATGTGAGAATTTGCCATTGGGCGGGTGCTCGGACCACTTACCATTTTGATAGAGGCATCTGTCAAATTTATGAATTTTGGCAAAACCTCGCCCTCTGATCCAGCAGCATCTAGCTCTACCACATCCCAGAGCGACAAGATCGTCCCAACAAGCTGCGCGAAGCATTCCGTCCACGTCCTGTCCAAATTTGGTTTCCCATCTACACGCGTGGGGGTCAGCACTCTATTCCCTCATCCTTGAACCACAAAAATAAAAAATAAACAAGACGAGAACATACGCGAATTCTGATCATCGAGCTTGAGGAAGTACCCCTCCTGGTACAGCTTATTGCTATGGCTATTCAGGTACGTGAACACCGGCTGCAGCTCAGGTAGCGTATCCTGCCCCAACTCCATCAGCGGCGGCTGGTACGTCTGCACCATAGATATAGGCCTCGAGTTTGCGCGATTCCGCTGCACCTGCTCGCGCCGTGTGGGTGAGCCCCTAATATTCGAGGGTTGCTGGGGCCCGCGCTGCGGGGAGCTCGAGCGGTAGACATCTTGCTGCTGCTCTGGCTTCTCCGGGAAGGTCGGGAAGGGGATGGTATCTCCAGGCGGTGAGGGCGTTTTCAAGCTGCGGGAGTCGCGGTTCGAGAAGTTCGACATGAACGAGAGCACTGTGGTGGGGGGTGACACGTTAGTGGGGAGATCATTTTTTGGTGGTGTGAATTGCGAGGGGGGAAGTGCGGGACTGACCTCGGTTTTTGGCCATGGTGACCATATCTTGTGATCTCTGAGCTTTAAACGAATGTGGTGTCTTTTTTGTTTAGGCGTAGAAATGCAGGGTTCCGTCTCTTCTCAGGGTCTTGTTCTTTCTGGAGGTTGTTTTGCAAGGGGTGGCCTTTGTTCGCAGTCTAAGGGCCAAAAAGTGAGACGATGACGGTGTGGAAGCACGGTGGGTCGTTTCCAAGTGGCGCGAATGACGGAGGAGACGGATAGAGTGGTCGCCGTAGTCTGCCGGAGTGAGGGAAGCTGGATATAGTGAGAGATCTTGAGTTAGTGAAAGAAGAGAAGGAGAAGAGAAGGTCGGAGAGATCGAGAGAGGTCAAGAGATGGTGGTGAGTTAGTTTTGCTGGGGGGATGTGCGGGAATATGTAAAATGCCAATGCCAGCCAAGGGCAACTGGCGCAATACTGCGACTATTTACAGTTTCTTGGCTGGAGGAGCTTAGGTTGAGTGGTTAGGCCTGGTGGTTAGGCCTGGTGGTTGGTGGTGGTTGGTGGTTGGTGGTTGGTGGGCTGGTGGGTTGGTGGGTTGGTGGTTGGTGGTTGGTGGTTGGTGGTTGGTGGTTGGTGGTTGGTGGTTGGTGGTTGGTGGTTGGTGGTTGGTGGTTGGTGGTTGGTGGTTGGTGGTTGGTGGTTGGTGGTTGGTGGTTGGTGGTTGGTGGTTGGTGGTTGGTGGTTGGCGGTTGGCGGTTAGCGTTTGGAGGTTGATGTGCCGCTGGAGTGGATACGATGGAGGATGGACGTCACCTCTTTGTTTGTATTTTACGTACTGTTGTTGCACCTCCAAACTGAAGGCGAGCCCGGCTTCGGCTCGACCGCTTCTTTGACTCCTCAACCTGGCGTCGAAAAGCTAGTACGTCAAGCTCTTGAACCTGGCCTTCTGCTACAACCTCTTCCGTTCCTATGAGCCAATTCCTATAGCTCTCCTTCGAGGGGATACTAAAACCCTCTAGAACCCATTGTTTCCAGTACTGTAGCCCCTCTTCAACCCCCCTAAAAGTCGAGGGTTTTGGTGTAGAAACCCGTATAAGTAGAGGCATAGGCGTAGGTGTAGGCGTGGGCATAGGAGCAGGCTGTAAGTATGTACGTAGCTTTGCAAGAGCTATAACGTGGCTTACTGGCCAAATTCCTGCTTTCTAGAAAGCTGATATAATTGTAGACTCCTTAAAAGTCTGTAGCTGCATTTTGGTAAGATCCCTCATAAAGGACTGTAGGTCATGCATAACATCCATATCACGTATGGCAGCAAGCACAGCCTCTCTGTGCCAGTGCTTATACGGCTAGAAGATCCCTACATCTAGTGGCTGTAAAATATGGGTAAGATGGGATGGGAATGTGTATATGATAATATTATGTTTTTCTGCAGTAATGATGAAATCATTGCTTGTATGGCTCACATGAGAGTCGAGTAGTAGAACCTTCGTTTCCTTAGAGGGAGTATGCTCTGCAAAGTGCTCTAGCTACCATAAGGCAAGCTAGCTGTTTGAAAATCTAGTGCTAGAGAGCATGATGAGCTCTGTGCCTTAAAGGTTGGCGTGGTACTAAGAATCCATGTGTATTTTGCCTAGAATGATAAGTATAGGCGGTATGACTTTTCCGTTTGTAGACACAGCCTTAAGTATAGTAATAGACGTACGATTTTCAGGGCTTGGGGTATAGAGCTCCTTCGCAGCTTGTGGCACAATTACACGCTCTCTACCTAGAATCCCAACCTAAAGCTAGTTTCATCTATATACTAGATTGACTCTAGTTTTATACCACGCTCTAGTATAAACCAGCCATACTCTTAAAACCACTTTAGAACTGTAGGCTCATCTTGAGCCTTCGTAAGCTACTGCGTAATTGGCTTCGTAGTAATAAAGTGATATTCCTTAAGCTCATTCCATATAAATTTTGTAAGCTAGCTCTGTGATGGAGGCGCTATGGGCTCTAGAGCTTACAGACAGCAGCAAATATCATATTCCTAGTTGCTCTAAGCCCTAGGTAATACTGTAAATATTACCTAGGGCTTAGAGCAACTAGGAATATGATAGTAGAGTAGCTTATTCTAGCCCCCTTAGTGTAGGAGCTGCTGGGCTAGTTGGCCGTAGGTCATGGCGTAAGTCGTCTAATGGTGTAAATCGCATAGTTCACCCCACCACCACCTAGTTGATCTCGTATACCCAACCATAACTCAAGAATGATCCATCAAAAAAGTGTATGTGCTGCGGAACTTGAAGTTCTAGTTGCTGAGGCAGTTTTAGGCATCCAGTCTAAGAAATACAAGTCCCCATATGCAGCTGCAGAAGCTCTTGGAATTTGTAGGGACACTGTGAAGAAACGACTGAACGGAGGCCTCTCACATGTTGAATCATGCCAACAACAACAAATTCTTTCAAAAGCACAAGAGCAAACCCTCATAAAGGGGATACGCACCTAGTCATCGCATTTTACGAGAGGTTGCAGACGAAATCCGCACCAACCGCTGTCGCATCTTCCAACTGTCTGATGACAGATGCATCCCAAACACACCTGGCATCACATACATGCAAATTCTAAACCTACCTTTAGGACAGGAGTGGGTTCCATGTTTTATTAGATGGCATCCGCACCTACAAGTAGACTAGGAAAATGGATCAAATCACGGTATTACAAAAGAAGTGGTAGTAGGATCTTATGTACGTAATTCCTCTGTAGAAATGTGGTACTGACCCTTTAAAATTGCGCGTTTACTCTTGTTCTGTGTCCTCCATGTTTGAATTATCGATCGTAGATCTCAGCTTCACGCTGTTGTAGGAAATTGCATGTGTGGAGTCGGTCAGTGGCATCAGCTAGGTTGCATATATATTTTGTTGTTGGCATGTCTAAGGCTATATGAAGGTCTAACGCTGTCCCTATGACAGTATTCGCCTTTCGTAATGTAGCGAAATCAGGTGGGCTACTGTTCTGAAAATGGTATCAAAAATATCATGTTGTGTTGGTGTTTTTGTTCAGTCAACTGCTGTCATCACATCAGATGTCGGAAGTGTAAGATCTCGTATTATGCGCTGCGGTTGTAGTGGCTGTAATCCTGCGCGTCTCCAAGCTGAAGTAATATTATGAACTGAAAAAGCTTCTACTATTGCTTTTATGTATGCAGTTAACCACTCTGCTTTCTGTATGCATGTAAGCTGCGCTTCATTCAGTGTGGAGAGTGCGGTTGTATGGTGTTTTTTTAACGGTCCAAAGACTGCAACATCAAGCGGCTGTTGTTACGATTACAGCTCACAGCTTGTCACAGCTTGTTACAGTTGTTACGGTTGTTACGGTTGTTACGGTTGTTACGGTTGTTACGGTTATTACAGTTGTTACGGTTGTTACGGTTATTACGGTTATTATGATTGTTATGGGGGATTACAGGTGTAGCCTTAGCCACCAAGGTTACAACCGCTAAGCAGACAACTGTATGTTATGAGGAATAGCCTCACCTTCCTTCCTTCTTCTTCTTCTTCTCTCTTTAGATTCAATCTAGATTACTTTTCCTGGACTGGCATCATGACCTCTATGACCATCGTACGCTTTCCCAGCGTAGAAAGGGAGTACATTGTCATACTGACATTCGTTGCACTCAGTTTGCTATCAAACTCAAGAGCAAACTTGGAAATCTCCTCAAAACTACAAGTCACTATACATATTTTGGCTTATCACACCAACAACAAGAGCAATACTACTCAACGATTGCTACAACCATCTATGATTCATTACACGTCATCGCTCCTTAGTTACTGGGCCGATATTACCACATAGCATATCTCTACAACCCTCTATGATTCATTACATGACATTACTCATACTACCACATGACATATCTCTACCAACTAGAGGCCTAGGAGCATGAACGATAGCTCTAAAAGCCCCTACGAACTTCTATGATTCATTACACGTCATCGCTCTTTAGTTACCCACAAGATTGGTTAAGTTATGACATAATTTGTCTATGACATAATTTGTCTATGACATAATTTGTCTATGACATAATTTGTCTATAGGGGTACTCTGACCTTGGACCTCCTTTTACTTCCTATAGGCTACAAACCTAAGAGATGGTTCTATGGGATTCTCTTACGTCGACTACAGTTACCAAGCCTGGTAAGTCATGGAAAGTCTTGGAAAATGAGAGAACTACATTCCTTTAGCATAAATAGGATTGCCCTTTCCTTAAGAAAGGGCAAGCAGACAATACAGTAAATCGACTATCACATACTTCCACATCTTTTCAAAGCTTCCAAGCATTCATCTTGTTACTCCTTGTTTCTGAAAAGTCAGTGAGGTGTTAACCTCTGACTTATCCCTGAGTTCTCAGACTCAACATTTGTTGCAACTTGTCTGAACCACTTCACTACATCACACACCTGATTGCTGCGTTGTGGAATAGTCTAAGCTACAACCCTTTGGCTCTGTTTCCTAAGACAGTGTGTTGTCTTAGTAAATTCATCCCTTCCTTGGGTGGCTAGATTCTCACATCTGGTGCACCCACCATTACATACATGGTCAAGCGCGAGTTAGGCGCCGGTGCCTTCGCACCCGTCTACCTCATCGAAACTGTCACCGACTCCTACGAGCACCATCTGCTGGGTAGAGAAGCAGGAGTTGGATGAGAAGGAAAAGCTTGCAAAACGGCAAGAGAAGAAGAAGAAGAAGGAAGGAAGGTGAGGCTATTCCTCATAACATACAGTTGTCTGCTTAGCGGTTGTAACCTTGGTGGCTAAGGCTACACCTGTAATCCCCCATAACAACCGTAATAACCGTAATAACTGTAACAACCGTAACAACCATAACAACCGTAACAACTGTAACAAGCTGTGACAAGCTGTGAGCTGTAATCGTAACAGCTGTAACACATGCGAAGTGTGCAGTGGCAGTATAAGGACCGAGATGTGATTCTGTATGCAGTGTGATATAAAGTTTCCACTTATATGGGTATCATGGCCATCACAAATAAGAAGGCGTTGTCCTCCATCTGCCTTCGCATATGTTGCTGGCATCGAACACACGTTTTAACCATTCAACTCCATGTAGATTGCTTGTCCATCCTTTCTTGTTTGCAGAGAAGTTCGATAACATCCCGTGGAATCCAGCTTTGTAGAACGTTAAGACCTTTGAATATGATAAGAGGGTCAATAGCCATGCTGTCCATACAGATGCATTCAACTGCAGACACCCATTCTTGATGGCCTTGGTGTGCTTGATGGTGTGTACAGAGCGTAGAATCAGCAATGATTCAAGTACATTCCATAGTTCCAATCGAAAAGCTGGTCTCATCCATGTTATACACGTTGTGTTCTTTGATCCTTCACAAGGTCCTTGTACATGTCGAGCCAGAGGCTGAGGAAGCCACCTGACAGAAAGCAACAAAAGTTAGTGTAAGGACACAGGGCACCCAGCTCACAGTAATAGCATATGGGAGTGCGAGTCGGAGGCTAAACGGATGCTATCCTATAGGTCTACTATGAAGGATACAAAAAAGATGAAGAGAGGAACTTTGTTGGGTCAATCCCCTTAAGTACCCGAAATGGGTCCGACTCGGCTAACCTGCCCTAACTCTCCCCACGTGACCATAACCCATCCGACTCAGATCCCTTCCGTCAGTAAGGGTGGAGGCATCCTTACAGTTAGAGCTACAGGCGCAAACCGTGCTCTAACTGAACCAATTGAAGAGGAAAATGTCAGAGATGACCTAGAGGAGGAATTAGACTACATTGTAGCCAAGTACTAAGCTAATAAATTTACGGAGGTGTTGTTCATAAGTTTTGTGAGTGGGTCATAAGATGACCGGGGGTTGGGCATGGGTTGGAGCATGGGTACGCGTAGGCTTGTTTGTACCTTTTTAACGCGTCAAAATTCCTACTATTGTATTTTATATGTAGGAAATTCATACTCTTTCAATAACTACAATGCCTCATCTTACTCGCGATGAGCGGCTTCGTTGCGCACTACTACGCTCCCTAGATTGGGAGTTCCAAAAAATTGCAGCCTATATTGGCTGCACGGAACGGCAGGCTTGGTATGCTTGCCAGGGCCCTCCAACTCCGAAGAAGCGTTCGGGTAGGCCACTTATCCTATCCGATGAGCAAGTTCAAGAGGTTATTGAGTTTATAGCCTCATCTCGCATGAATAGGCGTATGCCATATACAAATATAATACGCATTCTTAATATTCCATGCTCACGGCTTGTCCTAACCCGCGCTCTGTCTGTGAGAGGCTATAATCGACGTAAGTATCCCTCTCTACTTTACTACTATATAGACTAATAATTATTAAGGGATTGCTATGCAGAAGCCTATTATCTCAGAGACAAATCGACAAAAGCGACTTTCATGGGCTATTGAACATAAGGATTGGGTACGGAATGATTGGAATAGGATACTTTGGACTGACGAGACGTGGGTAACGGGAGGCCGCCATACTCGTACATGGGTTACTCGAAAAGCAGGGGAAATGTGGGATGATACATGTGTTGTAGATAGAGTACAACGGAGAAGGTAAGAGACTCCTATTTACTATAGGATTTACTAACAATCCCTAGAGGTTGGATGTTCTGGGGCTGCTTCTCAGGTGGTCTTGGAAAGGGTCCTATACTATTTTGGGAGAAGGAATATGGGAAAATAGGAGCTGAGTCCTATATGGCTCATACTGTCCCTCTAATCCACGGCTGGCTACGCCTATACCCAGGCCTTACATTGATGCAAGATGGAGCTCCAGGTCATAGAGCAGGTGCAACATATGAAGAGTTGAGATCCCGTGGTATTTGCCCTATAGAATGGCCCCCGTATTCACCAGATCTCAACCCAATTGAACGGGTGTGGCATATTATGAAGAATTATCTACAAGATAATCATCCAGAACATATGTCCTACGACCAGCTCCGTGTAGCTGTTAAGGAAGCATGGGAGCAAGTTGGAGAAGCTGAGCTTAATGCTCTCCTTAATAGTATGCCTACACGTATGGCAGCAGTAATTGCTGCAAATGGTATGCACACAGAGTACTAGGCTTATAGTATAGTTTTATATAGGGGTTTAGGTATCTACTCTACTCATTATTCTACAGAATTGATTGCTCTCACACTCAAGTGTTCGTGACGCGTGAGAATCGGTACTTTGGCCAGAATTGCCAAACCAGCCTACGCAGGGGGCCCTAGCCCGACCCACTCACAAAACTTATGAACAACACCTCCGTATTGTTTCCGGGGCCTGAGTGGTGGTGGTGGGGTGAACTACGCGATTTACGCCATTAGACGACTTACGCCATGACCTACGTTACTTGACTATATCGTTGATTTAGGCACTTTGAAAATCCGACTGGCAGTAGTTGCTGTTTTAGAGGGGTTCTCTAGGAGCCACTCACGGGCATTTGATAGAGGAGTCCCTTCCATTAAATGAATTGCCTATAATTTACTATCTAAATACTATGTACAACTGACGTACGTTCCGACGAGCCACGTATTGCTTCCTCTCGGGTTGGGCAGCCGCATATTGCTTACTCAATTCCAACCTTGAGCGAAGCGAAAAGTTTGGTCACGACGATTAGTTCCTGGGCATGGTTTGCATGGTAACTTTGATGATGTGATGCTGTCCTGTCCTGTCCAGCAGACCTCCATCCGTCCCCGTCGACCGAGTCGCCGCCGCTCATCATAGCATCATCATAGTATGTATGCTTACTATCGCCCTGCTGCATGCGGACGCGCCGCGCCATGTAGTCTTACGTCTCCACTTCCTGTACTAAGTCTCCATACGAGGGGCCATCTGATGTGATAGAGTAGCCTTCCAATCCCTAACAACCAATCAACAACCCACGCTCCACTTCTCCCCTTCCCCCCCATCCGAAAATATAAAAACCCAAAATCCAACCCCATATCACGTGCCAACCCTCCGATAAGGCTAGTACCAAAAATTCCCAAAAATTCCTTATCGCCCAACAACCCATTCTGCCCAGCGTCGAGCCGTCCCCCAACAGCCTCACACCGAGCAAACACAACAACATAACCCTGGAATGCGGCGGTCCTCGCTTCTCTCGCTCCGTCTCTTCGCCCGCGCTTTACCTGCCCGCTTCGCCCGGTTGACTGAGCCATTCGGCGTGCAGGAGGTGCGGCAGTCGGGGTCCGCTGCTGCCTCTTCGACGACATCGGCGACTTCATCTTCATCTTCACCACGAAAGGAATCACTGCGCCCGCCACCTAGTACGACCTCACCGCCTACCAGCACCGCCGCCGCTGCCGCCGCGCCAACACCACTTCTCCGCCGCCCCTCCCCCTTCTACCTCGATACCGGGATCTCCTTATTCGCCAAGCGCGCACCGCGCCCGTTTCCGCCGCCGTTTTTGAGCCCGCCGACGACGAGCTTCTCGGATGCGCTGAGTACGCATCAGTGGAGCTGGGATCGGCGGCGGGGGAGGGGGGAGAGGAAGGGGGAGGCGACGGTGGGGGGGGAGAGGGTTGGGGGGGTGACGAATGGGGATGATGCTGTGGTGGTGGGGGGGGGTTTGTGGGGGTTTGTGATGGGGTTGGGGCGTGGAGTACGAGGAAGGGTGGGCATGCTGGGTAGGTTTTGCTTTTTTTTGGTTGTTTGGGGGGTGGGCTTGGGGGTGGTTGCGTTGGCTTTTAAAGAGGGGGCGGAGGAGAGATTGCTGACGGTACTAGACTCTGGTCGAGATTAATCGTTCATTTTTGGGCTGCGGAGATCGAACGAGCCGCTAATGTGGGGGGAGAACCAACACCGATCGAGTACCTACAGCGCGCCTACGAGCAAACCCTCGAGGCAACAACGCAACCTACAGAATGGCAGGGAACAACCACGGCCACAGGCGCACAACTACATTTCGAGAACACAGAGGCCGACGGCGCAGAGCGACCGGTTCTATACGTGACCAACCTGGGCGACTCGCAAGTCCTAGTCCTGCGGCCGCGGAACTCAAACGTGATTTTCAAGACGGAGGCGCAGTGGCATTGGTTCGATTGCCCGCGGCAGCTGGGGACGAATAGCCCTGACACGCCGAAGGGCGCGGCGGTGGTGGACAAGGTGATGGTAGAGGTTGGGGATGTGGTGTTAGCAGTTTCGGATGGGGTGACGGATAATTTATGGGAGCATGAAGTGGTGTCGTGTGTGGTTGGGGGCATGAGGGAGTGGGAGGAGGCGGGAAAGGCGGCTAAGGCCGGGAGTGTGACGAAGGGGGAGATGCAGTTTGTGGCTGAGAAACTGATGAATGCTGCGAGGGTTATTGCGCAGGATCCGTTTGCGGAGAGCCCGTTTATGGAACATGCTATAGAGGAGGGGTTGGCGATGGAGGGTGGTGAGTTTGATTCTTTTGTTGGTACGTGGGAAGGGAAGGAAGCTAATGGTTTGCAGGCAAGCTCGATGATATTAGTGTGGTGATTGGGCTTATCAGGAAGCATGATGGGTGAGAGGCTGAGAAGCTTGAAGGGAGCATTAAAACGGCGTGTACGACAAACAACTTCACTCATGGCGACAGGATCGAATATAACAACGATCAAGCTACTAGACAGAAAGATCCGAGGAGATTCGAAACTGCAGCTACTTATTACATTAGCCAAGGTATGGGATATGGAAAACGATAAACAGGGTAATAATCATGGAGGTGTAGGGAACAGGGAACACGCAACGCAGCGAGATAATTTTTTGAGCGATTTGAACGGGCTGGCTGGCGTTTCTATGGCATTTTCTGGGGACTCAACGACTTTTTACACGGGGTATCAGATGTCTATAATAGGGGATAAAATAGTAATACTTTTTGATTCTATTATACCGCTTCTTCTACACATACGATATTAACTTTCATTGCAACACGTGAATTCAATGAGACGTGAACGGTAGAAGCCCAAGGGGAACGAAGTGGAGTCTCTAAAAAGGGCGCTAGGCGAAAAAGGGCGGCAGAAAACCAGGTGCGCACGGGCCGCTAAACTCTAAATCCCAGTGCCAGAAATCCGTTATCGAAACTTTTTTGTTTTGGAGAGAACCATTTATCGCCCAAACGAAGCTACTTTACCAACGTCCCAGCGGAGAAACGAACCTACCTTGCTCCTCCGCATTCTTCTCTGCCACACACATAGTCCGGCTGAAGGAAGGAAATCGACAAGATGCGCGGGAAGAGGTCGAAGCAGTATAAGAAGCTCATGCAGCAGTATGGGCTCGCTTTTGGATTCAGAGAGCCGTACCAGGTGCTTCGTACGTCTTCGTCCCGGTCTATAACTTTGGGAATGGGGGATTGATGCTAACAATGTTGCTTCTGTAGTGGACGCAGATGTCATCCGCGACGCGGATAAGTTCAAGATGGACCTCATTGGCGGGTTGGAGCGCACACTACACGGACAGGTCAAACCCAGTACGTTCCCTCCCCTTCAAGCCTCAACTCTCTCCATCCTGCGGAGTTTCTGAGACAGTTGACTAACAGACCAATCTAGTGATAACACAATGCTCAATGCGCCACCTCTACAACGCCGCCAAAGAACCCGGCGTCTCCTTCCTCATCGACAAAGCCAAACTCTTCGAGCGCCGCCGCTGCGGCCACCTCCCCGCCGACTACCCCGAACCGCTTTCCGCAGAAGCCTGCATCGCTTCCGTCGTCGACGCCAAGGGCTCGGGGCGCAACAAGCACTGCTACGTCGTCGCGAGCCAGGACGTCGAGGTGCGGCGGCGGATGCGCGCGGTGGTCGGCGTGCCGCTGGTGTATATTAACAGGAGTGTGATGATTATGGAGCCGATGGCGGAGGCGTCGGGGAGTCAGAGGGATAGGGAGGAGAAGGGGAAGTTTAGGGATGGGTTGAGGGGGAGGGCAAGTGGGAGTGTGGGGATGAAGAGGAAGAGGGAGGATGGGGAGGGGGAGGGGGAGGGGGAGGAGAAGAGGAAGAAGAAGGTTTATGGGCAGCCGAAGGGGCCGAATCCGTTGAGCGTTAAGAAGGCGAAGAAGGAGGGGGAGGGGGTGGTGAGGAAGGTTAGGGAGCCGAGGGAGAAGAGTGAGAAGAACGAGGAGGGTGGGGCCGATGGGGAGGCAGCGGAGGGTGAGGTGAAGAAGAAGACGAGGAGGAAGAGGAAAGCTGGTGCTGGTGCTGGTGCTGGTGCTGGTGCTGTGGAGGGGGAGGGGGAGGGGGAGGGAGATGGTGATGTGCCTGTGGCTGTGGAGGCTGCGGATGCAGGGGAAGGCATGGAAGCTTGAGAATATGCGGAGCTGTAGAGAATACGTCGCGAACAAAGGAATAAACGATACCCTTAAACCACCGGACGTCATGTGCGCCATTGGCGTCTTTCGCAGAAGACAATCAATGAAAGTGAATGAAATCCAACTCTCACAGTACCTTCATCGCGAATTAATATTATTAACCATCATAATCCAATCCATTAAAATACCATCAAATTAACCACTCCCAAAATCACATACCCCCCCCAACCCATTAATCCCCAACCCCCAAGACATTATTTTGCCCACCCACGACCCACATCCCAGCCCCACGACCCGCCCCTCACCGCCTTCCCCAACCAGCGAACGAAAACCGAACGAGCCCCCATCCCATCCGGAGGCCGCGCAATTGCCCATTAAAGGAGAGTCGCTAACTCCCCCCGAGTCAGCAGCAGTCAACAACGCACTCAGTGCACAGTACAGCGACCCACGAATATAGCCGCGCTTGCTATGCGGTACCGTGACGGACGAGTGGGAGTTTATGTAATATCGACTGGCGGATTTGGATATATAGTGGTGCTGGGGAGGTGATTCTGCTGGGACAGGATTGAGGAGGCACTGGGTAAGGATGCCTGGGCGGGATGGGGGTGCTGCGTTGATACGGAAGGGGGGGGAGGTTGATGAGTGGGGGTTACCTGTGAGGCATAAGGAGGCGGAGGAGCCGACACAAGCTGGAGAGGTGACGGCGACGGGGGAGGACTGGCAGGAAGGGGATACGAAGTCGAGTACACATAAAACGACTGAGGATAAGGAGGTGCCCAAGGAGAAAACGAAGGCTACGGAAGATTCGAATATACATATAAAGGCGGGGGATAAAGAGATACCCAAGGAGACGGCGGAGGCTACGACGAAGGGGAAGAAGGTGGTGACGGAGGATTCGAGCAGCGATGACGACGAGTTCAAAGATGCTCCTTCGGAACAGATACCAGAGGCCACCGAAGCCACCGAAGCCCCAAAAGTGCAAAAGAGTGCAGAAAAGCCTGAGGCTCCTACTATGGCTAAAGAATTGAGTCCTGAGACTACGAAGGCCGAGGATACGAAGACCGAGGGTCCCGCAACTAAATCACCTACACCTGAAGCTTCTACAACTGAAGCGCCCCCGACCGAAGGGTCTGCAAAGGCAGAGCAAGCCGCCGTCGAGCCCGTAGAAAAGCAAGGCCATGCTCGAGCTAAGAGCTCCGTAAACAGCATATCGAAAGCTGGTCACAAACGCGGCAAGAGCTCGGTGAACAGGGTATCAGAATGGTCTCACCAACAGACTGCGGCACAACCCGGGGAAGAGGATAAGAAAGAAGATTCCGAGGACGAATGGCAGACAATGCCGGCCTATGCCCCGTTCGATATCTACGACGATGACAACAAGCTCGTCGCGAAGGAGGCCCATGATTACGATGCTGAGGACGCCACATATGCTGGGCTTGGTGGGGCTGGGAAGGGATACACTAGAGTCCAGCTAGATGAGGATGCGCAGTCAGCCACGAGCATGGACGAGCACACCTCATACCTCTTCAAAGAAGCCAACGGCGGCACCACCGCCGCCGGCTTCGAAGACGAAGAGCAGCGCGACGCCGTATCCCAGATGGAAACCACCAAAGACCTCCTCACAGAAGGCCAACGCATTGCCTACGTAGGCATGACGCGCCTCGTCCTCTCCTCCATGGTAAAAGCCCACGAGGTAATCGAAGGCACCAGCAAGGGCGCCAAGAAGGAGACCAGCGTCGGCACGGCGGCGATGCGCATGTTCAGCCAGAAAATGATGATTAGACTGTATGCACACATGGAGATTAGCACACCGGAGCAGATTATGATTGAGCAGCTGTCGGAGCATGGGGTTGAGCCGAGGGATTTGACGCCGACGCTGATGGCGAATGCGAGGGTTAAGAATCCGATGGCTGAGAAGGCGGAGGAGGTGGGTGAGAAGACGGGTAGTCCGCGGCCGGGGTCGGTGGCGGGTGAGAAATCTGGTGAGAAGGCGGGTGAGAATGACTCGCTATCGAGTTCCCAGATGGAGAAGGAAGAAGCAGCAGCGCCGCCACCGCCGTATGTCGAGACTGATGGCGAGCATTTACCGGAAGTGAGGACGCCAGGGCAATTACCGACGACGAAGAATTTGGATATCGATCTAAGGTGGACGGTACTGTGCGATTTGTTCCTCACCCTCATTGCAGACTCGGTCTACGACGCGCGGTCCAGGGTGCTTCTCGAACAAGTCGGCAGCCACCTAGACGTGACCTGGCTCGACATCTGCCGCTTCGAGAAGCGCGTCACCGACGCCCTCGAGATGCAGCAGGCGGCTGAGAAGGAGAACTGGAACGAAGATGAGCACAAAGAGTCCCGGCGCAAAATGGCACTCAAGAAGCGCTACATGATGATGGGTCTCGCTACCGTCGGAGGAGGTCTTGTCATCGGTCTCTCTGCGGGCTTACTTGCACCTGTCATAGGTGCTGGTCTGGCAGCTGGGTTCACCACCATCGGTGTAGCAGGCACGGGTGGTTTCCTGGCCGGTGCGGGAGGAGCAGCGATTATTACGTCCGCTGCGGCGACTTCGGGTGGTATTATTGCGGTGAAAGCGGCGAATAGGAGGACTGGCGCTGTCAAGACTTTTGAGTATAGACCGCTCCATAATAACAAGCGGGTCAACCTCATTGTCACGGTGTCGGGGTGGATGACGGGTAAGGTCGATGACGTGCGGTTGCCATACAGTACTGTTGATCCTATTATGGGAGATATTTACTCTGTGCTTTGGGAGCCGGAGATGTTAACTAGTATGGGAGATACGATTAATATTTTGGCTACTGAGGTATGTTATCCTACGTCAAACTCGAAGCATGGAAAGTCTAACAGATACAGGCATTAACGCAAGGTCTTCAACAAGTCCTTGGAAGCACCATCCTCATCGGTCTCATGGCCGCGCTCCAACTCCCTGTCGTCCTCACTAAACTCTCGTATCTCATCGATAACCCGTGGGCCGTCTCCCTAGTGCGCGCCGAATCCGCAGGTCTCATTTTGGCCGACTCGCTCATCGACCGCAACCTTGGTACCCGCCCCATAACCTTCGTGGGCTACTCCCTCGGCTGCCGCGTGATCTTTTCGTGTCTTCGCGAGCTCGCTCGTAAGGGCGCCTACGGCCTCGTCCAGAACGTGTACCTCTTTGGCTCCCCCATCGTCGCCAAGAAGGACGACTACCTAAAAGCGCGTTCCGTCGTCGCCGGCCGCTTCGTCAACGGCTTCGCGCGCAACGACTGGATACTCGGATACCTCTTCCGCCTCACTTCCGGCGGAATCTCACGCATAGCCGGTCTCGCGCCCGTCGACGGCATCCCCGGCCTCGAGAACGTCGACGTCACCGAGCTCGTCAAGGGCCACATGGCCTACCGAACCGCCATGCCGCGACTACTCCGCGAGGTAGGCTGGCAGGTCGACAGCGACGAGTTCAGCGAGATCGAAGACCCGGACCCAGAGAACCACCAGCAGCGACAGCGCGAGCTGATCAACGAGATTGAGGAGGCGCGTAAGGAGTTCGATCGTCAGGAGCGCGAGGCGAAGGGGAAGTTCGGCTTCTTGAAGCGTAAGAAGAAGGCGGCAGCTACGAAGAAGGAGTGGGAGACGTATCAGGAGAGTCGCGAGGAGGATTTTGCGGAGCTGAGCACGAAACATGATAGTGTGCTTTTTGACATCGATGCCATCCGCGCGGAGCTCGCGAGCGAGAACTTTGAGGTCAAGGAGCTGGAAAGTACGCTGCCGCCTATGAGGTTGGATTTTAGTAGCCCGGCTGCGTCGCCGACCGTGCCGTCGTCTAGTCTTGGTGCGCTTAGGGACACAAAATTAGCGGATGTGATTCTGACTATGGGCACGTACGAAGAGTCCCCGTCCCTGGCGCCTAAGAAGAGCTATACATATGGCCCAGATGAGGGTTATAAGAGCTACCAGTCGAGTCCGTACCTCGCGCCAGATGATGAGGTGCAGATGAGCTTCGACACATCGTATGCGTCGCCAGCACGGTCGGCCACCGGGCTAGGTCTGTCGCAGTCGGGGCTAAAGGTCGATGAGGGGGGATGGGGGGAGCCGAGGTCATACGAGGTTAGTCCACGGGTGTCAAAAGAACTCAGGGATAAGCCTTTGCCGCCTGACCCTAAGGATGGAATTGAACTAGAGATGCATAGGCCGCCGATTAGGGGTAGCAAGACGGAGCCGCTTGGGGGGAATGCGTGGGCGGATGAGGATGATGAGGATGAGTTCAAGGAGAAGGAGATGGAGATGACTTTTGCGTGATTGTCGCGCTTGGACTTTGTATTATTTAATGGATACTACGGGGTGGGTTGTAGTGGAGTGGGGTGCTTGAATGTGTTGTACATAGACTGCATAGCGCGGGAGAGATATTTTCGTCGTTGGGAGAACGTTTCTTGCCAAGGGGTTGTAGAGATGGATGGGAATTGGAGACTGGAGGGTTGGAAGTCCGAGATGCAGATTATAACAGGATATAGATCTTGAGGGGGATGCCTTTATGGCGATATATTCGTGGGGATAATGGAATGGGTAATTAGGGAGTATAGCGCCGCACAGCTGAAAGTGAACAACGTGTTTGTTCCTGGTTCGAAAGCTGTTGCCGAAAATCCCATGAAAACCATCGTGTACAGCTCTAATGAGCATGCCAGCATTTCCACGAGGACCTCGTAGATGTTAGGCAGGTATATGCAGACTATGTCGCCTTTCTTTACTCCGAGATCTTTGAGAACATATGAAAGTCGAGAGGTGTCGTGGAGGAGTTGGCTGCATGTTATTTTCCGTCCATTGCCGACTTCGTCCGCCTCGAAGACCACAGCAACTTTGTTGGGATCTTGAATTGCATGGCGGTCACTGCAGTTGTAAGAGGCATTCAGACGACCTTTTTGAAACCATGCGTTATCGCCATCTCTGAAATTTCCCGTACGAATTGTTTTGAAATCTTGATACCAATCAAGTAATTTCCGGGCTTTGCCAACCCAGAAGCTTTCTGGATCCTTGATCAATTTTGTATAAATTGCTCTATACTCTTCTATGCTTTTTGGAATTTTATCCATGTCTGGCTCATTGACATCATTGAAAGCACTCATTGCGAATTATATTTCTGAGTGCAAATATTCACAAAACAACAATGCTACGGTGGACAGATTTGTGGAAAGGCAACTTTTAAAAGTATTCTCAACAATAACAAAAAGAGCTCCGTTCTTGCATTCGGTTTAGTAATAACTCCCTATTTTATTTCTAGCGTAAGTCATCGTGTAACGCGGGGGACGGCGTAACGCGGGGGGTTTTTGAAGACCATACAACATAACTGTAAATTTAACTACAATCAACAGCAATACATAACCCGCTGAAGCTCCTCGAATTCCTTAGTTAGGGACAACAGCAACAATCTATCGTTAGATAGGAGGATCCACTTGTACTTAGCTAGCTTAGTCTCTTCTCTCAACATCTCCTAGGCCCGAAAGGCGCCAAGTGCAGGGGGGTCTTCTCATAATAAGTCCTGTATATGTTAGCTAATAAATATTACTATAATGCTATTAATCTATATGCTCACCATCTAGTTCTTGTAATGCAAGAACAGAGTGTTCTAATTGGCTAGTATCAAATATATAGTGTTTGATTATGCTGAGTTATTGCAAGGGAGTTAGGAGAAGTCTAGAGGTCAACTGTAAAGTGGGCTTCGAGATAGCTAATTGTATGTCGCGTTTAATTTGTTGCTTTTGAGCCTCGTATGTATGCAATGTCTTATTGTTGGAATAGAGTTTGGTAGCTAGTTATCGATCTCTAGATTAAGGTAGTAGAGTAATGCCCTAAATTCCAATAGTGTTGCTATATAGAAAGGGACTCTACAAGTTGTAATCCATCGTACATATAGCTGCTTAACAACAGTAGGGTCTAAGGCTTGACTTGTAATAGTAGAGAGACAGCGGCATTTATAATTTGCCTCCTTAGCTTTATTGAAAGCATTAGTGATGCTGCGTTGAATTAAGGTAGTTCAAGATTCCTAAGTAGAGGATATATTAATGTCGTGATCTTTTAGGTGCCTTGTAATAATCTTCGTTCTGCTAAACTCAAGATACTCCTTTAGACAGTATCTATAACGCCATATTAACCTGCCTGTAACGCTGACTTCTAAACGATAGAAGACACAGAGGTTCTCTTGCGTAAAGGTTTACTTATCAGAGGAGGCAGGGGATCAGACACAAAGGCTTCAAGTAACACGTTACTAGTATATAACAAATACTGTATTGAGTTGAGCACGAAGCTCCTATCTAAGGAAATACTATCTACTTATATAGTGGCGTCGTGCCTAGTGGACTCTTGGGAACTCACTCGAGTCCTCGGAGTCCTGGACTCTTAGGACTCTTCTCATCATCCTGCGAGTCCATCACGTGCCTAGAGGACTCCTAGGAACTCACTCGAGTCCTCGGAGTCCTGGACTCTTAGGACTCTTCTCATCCTCCTGCGAGTCCGTCACGTGATACTTTCGGAACTACTATTCCCCGCTGCCCCTCCAGGTACCAGGGCCGGTCTCATGCGACCTCCCTCCTTCCTGTCCTGTAGTTGGCCAGCCTTCTTGTTCCGTCGTAACACTCGCTCCCTTCCCCTGGGCATTCGTCTCGAATCCTATAAGTACGTCCATGTCCCCGGGACTCTGCTGCTCCTCAGCGAGTCCTTCAACATGCAACATGCCTACTGACACTGCCCGCAAACTCCAGGAACGCAACGATCTTGTCCGTCGAATAAAGAACCACGGATACGAACTACCCGAAATGGATTCTTGCTCGAACTGCGTGAGGCGAAACATTACTTGCGTGTCGTCTCCAAATGATTCACGGCGGTGCGCCGAGTGCGTTCGTCGCAACTTGAAAGAAAAGTGTGACTGTATGGGTCCTGAGCATCCCGACTGGGTGAAGCTCGAACGGGAGGAGGATCGCCTGGATCGCGAAGAGGAAGAAACCCTTTCGAAGTTACTTCGTCTGCGAAAGCAGAAACGCCTCATCCGAACCCGTGGTAAAGATATGCTCCGGCGAGGTTTGAAAACCCTCGACGAGCTTGATGCGGCAGAGGAGGCCGAACGTGTGGCTGCTGAGAAGCGTGACGCTGTTGAGGTCGAGGAACAGGCAGTTAGCGCTGCCTCCTCGTCTGTGACCGGGACCTCCACTTCCTCCGATCCACTGGCCTACTCCCCTGCATCTTGGGATCAATGGCTGGCGGATGGCGGCGTCGATATTCCTCCAGCAGTTCTTTGCTGATGTTCCTTGTTGGTTCCCACGAATTATCCGTAGGTTCGTAATTTTCCCATTTTATCAAAAACTCTTCTCGACGTCCTACTAACCTTCTGTCTAGGATCGCTTCGACCTCATATTCGATTATCTCATTCTCGGGTTGGAGTTCGGTGTCGGTCGCAATTGGGGTATTTCCTCTTGCTGGTTCCAGTAGTGAGACATGAAATACCGGGTGTAGTCTAGACTTCCTGGGTAGCTGCAGTCTGTAATTAACTGAGCTGACTTTGTTCAATATTTTGAATGGTCCCAATTTCTTGAAGTCCAACTTTGTGCTTGGTCGTTTCGTTTTGATATGTTTCCGGAGTAGGTATACTTTATCCCCCTCCTTGAAGGCAGGTTCCATACTGCGCTTCTTGTTTGCGTATGCGGCGGATCGTTCATTTAAGAATTGGATGTCCGTCGCAAGTTGTTCGTGGAACGATTTCAGTTGTTCCACCACGATCAGGGCTTGTTCAGCTCGTGATTCATCCGGTCTTGGTTGCCTATATGCTTCTGGCTGGTAGCCATAATTGGCAAAGAACGGTGAGACTTTCGTTGCTTCTGTCATCGCGCTGTTATATGCAAACTGTGCGATGGGTAAGATCTGAACCCAGTTATCCTGTTGATGATTGACATAGCTTCGCAGGTACTGTTCAAGGGTCTGATTTAATCTTTCTGTTTGGCCATCTGTCTGGGGATGAAAAGCTGTTGATAGCTTATGATTTGTTCCCAGTAGCGCCATCAATGATTTCCAGAATTTCGAAGTAAAGAGCTTGTCTCTATCTGAGATGATTTCTTCTGGCATCCCATGATCGGCTAATATGACTCGAATGAAGGTATATGCGAGCGCCTCGGCGTCGCTAGCTTCTAGATATGGTATAAACTTCCCATATTTCGTGAGTCTTTCCGTGATGACGAGGATAGAGTCGTATTCTATTCCTGTTAACGGGTCCTTGGAGGGTGGAAGCTTGACGATGAAGTCCAAAGCTATTGATTTCCACGCTCCTTTTGGTACTGGTGTCGACTTGAGTTGTCCGTATGGCAGATGCCTATTGGATTTTGACTTGCTGCAAATGTCGCACTCTCTTACCACTGTCTCTACCTGCTTCCTCATACCCGGGAAGTAGTAGTGTCGAGTGATTCGTTCGAAGGTTCGTGTTACTCCCTGATGACCGTGTGCTGGTAACGAGTGTTGTTCTTGCACCAGCGGGCGTCTCATTTGACTTGGGACATACACTAACCCTTTGTATCGAATCAATCCTTGTTCGTCGATGGTGAAGTCGCCTTCGACTTTGGACAAGACTCGCTTGGCGCATTCGTCTGTTGCGTAAGCTTTCTTGAGTCTTTCCTCGAGTTCTGTATCTTCGATGACTGAGATCGTCGCTAGTAACTCGTTGTACTGTATTCCTGCATCTGTTTTCTTCAGAATTGCTCTAGGTCTTTCTTCCTTTGGGCCGGCGTAGTCGGTCCGTCTGCTGAGAGCGTCTGCTCTTGCATTCTCGGAGCCCTTGCGATAGGTTATCGTGAAGTTGTAGGCTGCGAGGGTTTCTGCCCAGCGGACTTGTCTGCGGTTTAAAACCTTGGTCGTGGTGAAGTATATGAGGTTCTTGTGATCCGTCCATACCTGCACAGGGTAGGTGGATCCCTCAAGATATACTCGCCACTGCTCAAAGGCAACGACAATAGCCAGTAGCTCCTTGTCGTGGATGTCGTAATTGAGTTCCGCGGGTGACAGTTTCCTAGAGTAGTACGCGATTGGTTTGAACTTACCGTTCTCGTCTGGTTGATTCAGACATGCTCCAATTGCGAAGTCAGAAGAGTCCGTTTCGAGGATGATCTTCTTTGCAGGGTCAAATGTAGCAAGGATAGGTGCTTCCGTGAACTTCGTCTTAAGTTCCTGGAAAGCAGCCTCTGCCTTGTCCGTCCATTTGAATTCGAGATCCTTTCTGGTAAGCTCCGTGAGTGGTTGAGCTACCTTGGAATATCCCGAGATGAATCTTCGGTAGAAGTTGGCGAAGCCTAGGAAGGCTTGCACTTCCTTGACCGTGGTCGGTGTTGGCCATTCCAACACTGCCGTTACTTTTGCTTGGTCCATCTTGATGCCGTGCGTTCCAATAATGTAACCCAAGAATTCGACTTGGTTTTTATGGAACTCGCACTTCTCTGGTTTGAGGAGTAAGCTGTACTCCTTTAGTTTCTTCAGGACGAGTTTGACATGCTTGACATGCTCCTCCTTGGTTGCTGAATACACCAGGACATCGTCTAGGTAGACAATGGTAAAGATGTCTAAGTATTCGTGCAAAGCATCATTCATCAGTCGTTGCATAGATGCGGGTGCGTTTGTTAGCCCAAAGGGCATGACTTGATACTCGAATAGGCCATAGCGGGTGCGGAATGCTGTTTTCCACTCTTCCCCAGCCTTGATTCGGATCAGGTTGTATGCTCCTCGCAGATCTAGCTTACTGAAGACCTTTGCTCCTTGAAATCTATCGTGTAGTTCGTTGATTAACGGCAGGGCATACCTGTCCTTGATTGTGATGTTGTTCAACGCTCGATAGTCCACACATAACCGTAGGGAGCCGTCTTTCTTTGGTACGAAAAGCACCGGACTTCCTGCGGGTGATGTGGATGGTTTGATGAATCCTTTTGCTAGGTTATCATCAATGTACTCCTTAAGTACCTTCAGCTCCTTTTCCGATAGCTGATATATTGGTCCGAACGGTGGACTCTTGTCTTTCTCCAAAGGTATCTCGTGATCCCATGGTTGGTGCTTAGGAAGCGCCTCATTCTTAGGGCCTTCCTGGAATAATTGCTCGTAT